TCTCTTTCTCCCTCAGTGGACCATCCCTTTAAATAAAGAATTAAAAAGAAAGGTTTATAAAAACTAACCCGACTCAGCATTATAAATAAGAGACACTTCCATTGTCCCCTACCTCTGCAAAGAAGGGAGGAACACGAATGGAGAATCGTTCCTAAACACCCTCATTTTATAGATGAGGAAACTGAAGACAAGAGAGGGGAAGTGATTTTTGCAAGGTACTTAGGCCCAAGTAGCAGCTCCATGAATTAAACCCAGGTTCTCCAACTAGAGGACCTCTACTGAAATTGGGGGCCTGCTACAGTAGCCACACCTAGCCTGGGAAAACAGCAGGTAGGTTACTCGTGGGTAGCTGGAGTACCATCTGGTGGCCAAAGGCTATAACTACATACTCAGCTACTTAATCTGAATTAGCTTTCCCTAGGAGGTAGGATTTCCAAGAAGACCAATGACATCATGGGCTGATGTCTTTATTTGCATATGAAATGGATTTAAGTGAGGCAGAGTTGCACAAAGTGGTCAGCTTCACTCTCTTCCAGAGTCATAGAGGTCCAGGGGCAATTAAAAAGTCAAGACAACTGGCTGTGGGCAGGGAAAAGGCACTTAATAAATTCCTGTGGATTGATCGTTGACCATATTCCATTAATCCCAGGCACAAAGTCCAATGTTATGGGACTAACTCCTTATTGGTGGAGAACAGTGCTCTAGGTGAGGGGTGGAGATCAGAAGAAAGTCTCTGGGGGACACTGACACTCTCTTCTCTCCCAACTCTGCTTCTCGCCAGCTGCAGGGTATTGATCTCCACCAATAAGGAGTGAGTCCCATGCCAAAGAGCTTTGGGATCTTGGTTACTTACCTAAAGGTCAGGTCTGACTATATCTCTTCCCTATTCAATAAACTCCAATGGCTCCCCATTACCTCTCAAATCAAATATATTGTGAAATACTCATTCAAAGTCTTCTTTCAAATTGTTTATACCCTTTGACCCAGCAATAGCACTTCTAGGGCTGTATCCCAAAGAGATCATACAAATGGGAAAAGGACCCACATGTACAAAAATGTTTATAGCAGCTCTTTTTGTGGTGGCAAAGAATTGGAAATTGAGGGGATGCCCAGAAATTGGGGAATGGCTGAATAAGTTGTGGTATATGAATGCAATGGAATACTGTTGTGCTATAAGAAATGATGAGCAAGCAGACTTCAGAAAAACATGGAAAGACTTGTATGAACTGATTGATGAGTGAAATGAGCAGAATCAGGAGAACATTGTGTATAGTAACAGTCACATTGTGGGATGACTGACTTTGATAGACTTAACTCTTCTTAGCAATGCAAGGATCTAAGACAACTCCAAAAGACTCATAATGGAAAATACTATCCACATCCAGAAAAAGAACTATGAAGTCTGAATGCAGATGGAAGCATACTATTTGCTCTCCTTTCCTTTTGTTGTTTTGTTTTATTGCTTCATTCTCATGGTTCCTCCCATTAGTTCTAATTCTTCTTTACATCATGATTAATGGGAAAATATGCTTAATATGAATGTATAAGTAGAGCCTATATCAGATTGCAAGCCATCTTGGGGAGGGAGGGAGGAGAGGGAAGGGGGAGAAGATTTAAAACTCAAAATCTTATGGAAGTGAAATATTGAAAACTAAAAATAAATAAATTATTTAAAAAAATAAAAATAAAGAGACTGAGGCAAACAGGGCTGAGTGACTTGCCCAGGGTCACATAATCGCTACATGTCTGAGGCTGGATTTGAACTTAGGTCCTCCATGATCCCAGGGCTGATGCTCTGTCCACCATACCACCTAGCCATCCGCACAGTATAATATATTTACTTTTCCATAAACATATTGTATCCCATAGTCAGGTCAGGAAGACCAGAGTTCAAATCCAGCCTCAGACATTTACCGGTTGTGACCCTGAGCAAGCCACTTAGCGTTGTTTGCCTCAGTTTCTTCATCTGTGAAGTAAGTCAGATATAAACTCCTTGAGGGCAGACAGAGACTGTCTGGTTTTCATCTTAGTATACCCAGAGCCTAGCACAGTGCTTAGCACATAGTAGATGTGCTTAATAAATACTTGTTCATTGATTGTATTTAGGGTTTGTTTATATTTGTGTGTACTCACATTTTATTTATGTAGTATGAAATTTGTTGTCTCTCCCTTTACACAAACTTCTTGCCAACAGTTTCTTTATTTGTACTTGTATTCCCAGGGTTGAACACAGTGCCTGCTAAATACTTCTTGACTAATAAATTGATTTATGAGATTAAAAAAAAAGTCTTCTTTCAAAGCCTCATTAAAGTCTCCTCATTCATTCTAAAAGTCCTTCACAATCTTATTGTTGTCGTTGTTCAGCCATTTCAGTCGTATCTGACTCTTCATTGACCACATTTGGGGTTTTCTTGGCAAAGGTATTGGAGTGCTTTGCCATTTCCTTCTCTAGCTCATTTTACAGATGAGGACACTGAGGCAAACAGGTTCAATGACTTGCCCAGGGTCATGTAGCTAATAAGTATCTGAGGCAACTTAGCTGTTGCAGTTAGGGGGGTTAGTGAGGAAGACGGTGCCTTGATCAGAAAGTAAGAAGTAAAGTGAGGCGTAGCTAGAGCTTTTCAGAAATAATAGTCTGGGAGAGATAGTCATTAATGGAAACAGCCGGGTCCCAGGGAGGGATATGTCCAGAAAGTGGAAAGATAACAAGTGTTGATCAGATTTCTTCCCTTTCTCCAATTCCTTCTCTAGCAGAAGACTTTCTCATGTTGTATTTTTAAAGGAAACTCTTAGATTGAAGTAGACCTTGCCTCAGGTCCTCTGACATTTCCCCAACAAGCCTTGGAGAAAATCTCTCCCCACTATGGGTGGCCAACAATGTAGGGTGGCTATCTAGCCAAACATACAAGGATATATTGTATACCCCTGATATTCTGAGTATCCCAAAAGTCTTAGTGCAGTTTAAAGCTTAAAGCTGCACTAAGACTTTTGGGACACCATATTCATATGTGTGTATGCATGTGTGTATACACACAAATATATATACGCACACACATATACATACATATGTGTATATATATATAGTTCCTATATGTATACATTGGAATTATATCTACATAGGAATATATAGGAGTTATATAGAGAGAGAGGTATCTATAGAAATATATATTCCTAAATGTTTTTGTGGGAAATATAGCTATATGTGGGAAATATACATGAATACAAAAATTATATATTATACATAGAAAATGTTAGTTACTATTATTATTAAATACTGGTAGAATTTATCTGCTTCCCTACCGATGGGGCACTCTCTCTCTCCCTGGGTAATAGGTCAGGGCTTGCTCAGGCTTTCAGGGGGTGTCACCAGTGTGAGTCCATCTTTTGCTTTGAAGCCTCTTTGAGTGCGATTAATTCCAAAGGAATAATGGTGAAGCGTGCCACCCACTTCTCAACAGAGAAGGGCTGGATTCAAGATAGAGAATTACATTTTCAGACACAGCTAGTGTGGGTATTTGTTTTGCTTGATTATGCATATTTGTTAAAAGCACTTTGTTTTTCCTTCTTTTTCTTTCCCAGTGGGGGTGGGGAGAAGGGCTAGGGAAGCAAAAAAAAAAAAAAAAGAGAGAGAGAGAGAGAGAGAGTCATTTAGGCATCTCATCTTTTAAAAAACGCACAGAAATATATAAAAATACTTGTAGCCATCTTTTGTGTTGGCAAAGAACTAGAAATTGAGGGAGTGCCAATCAATTGGGGAATGGCTGAGCAAGTCATGGTATATGAATGTATAACAGAATACTAATGTGTTGTAAGAAATGAGGGAGAAAGTTTCAGAAAAACCTGGGAATACTTGTATGAACTGATGCAGAGGAAAGTGATCAGAACAAGGAGAACAATTTAAAACAGGAATAATTTCAAACTCTAATCAATGCAATGATCAACTATGATTGCAGAGTATAGATGATGAAATACGCCGCCCAACAAACTCCTGGGACTAAATTTTCAGAATGAGATGCCTGTCTTTTTGGATATGACCCATATAGGAATTTATTGTGTTTGTTTTGCTTTGTTTTTGTAATGGGAGGGGTGTGTGGTGGAAAGAAATGCTTGATAATTGAAAAAAAATTTTCATTTTTAAAAATGCAGAGAGGATAAAGAAGGAAGGCCAGAAAGAAGCAGACAGCTTTCTGACCTATCAATTGAACTTATATGCTTGAAAAGAAAAGCAAGCTATTCAAAATAAAGGCTTGCAGTTTCATGTATAATCCTCTTTTTCTGTTCTACTATGTATATGGAAAGACTTGTTTTATTTGATGATTGTTAAATTCAGAATAAAAATAAATAAATTTTCAAACAAAGAAACAGGAGTGGGTGACTCAGAGCACAACTCTATACCAGAGGCAGAGGACTGGGAGATACAGACCTTTCACAACCCAGACATGTAGGATTTCAGTCCCTTCAGGAAAGGAAGGAGCAGGAGTCAGATGTTTCTCCTCATTCTCCACCCCCCCCCCCCCCCCCCCCTGGGGGTATCAGTCCTAGCTGGTACTGCTTCTGGCCAGAACTATTGATTCCTCACAAGGGTCATGGCCTAGCACTAGCATTAAAGGGAATCGGGAAGGACTTCTTGGAAAAGGTGGGATTTTAGCTGGTCACATGGAAAGGTCAACTGGACAGTGAATACTAAGCAGACAACTTAGGAGTCCTGGATTCCCTTTGGTTAGATGTTGGTCAATCAACCAATAAACCATCATGCATTTATTAAGTTCTTGCTATTTGCCAGGCACTGTGCTAAGCCCTGGAGATGCAGAGAAAGGAGGGAAGAACAGTTTCTGCCCTCAAGTTATTTATATTTTAATGCTGGTCTGAGTGGGTCATTGTAGCCACTGAATACAGATTTAGAGACCTAGTTATTTTGATTGGATGGAGAGATGCCAGTACTGGAAGTGTGCAGGGCGGAGGGAGGTTAGGAGACCTGGTTTCTAGTCCCAGTTCTAACCCTTATAACCTAGAGTAAAACATAGTACCTCTTACAGTCTACACTAACCCCATTGGTAAAATGAAGAGAATTATTCCTGTTCCAGTATAAAGGCACTACAAGCACTGGATTCCTTGGATAAATAGCTGGTGCTTCTCAGAGGCAGAGGTGCTAGAGTCTGGCAGATGAAGACCATCGGTCAGAGCTGAGGTCTCAAGCTGGGGTTCCCCAAGATGGATGCTCTTTGTTCCTGTTGTCCAGGTAGGTGTGGCAGTCAATTTCTGGACTCAAGCTCATTTGTGCCCTTTTAAAACACATTCCAGGGGCAGCTAGGTGGCACAGTGGATAGAGCACTGGCCCTGGATTCAGGAGGACCTAAGTTCAAATCCGACCTCAGACACATAACACTTACTAGCTGTGTGACCCTGGGCGAGTCACTTAACCCCATTGCCTAACCAAAAACAAACAAAAAAAAAAACCAAAACCACATTCCATTCCAGGGCCATTAAGACAAGTTGACATTGCTCTTTAGCCAGCTAACGGTAAGCACTGACCATGGCTGCCAGGTGCTATGTCAAGTTTAAGGACTTTCTCTTTCTCCTGTTCATCTCCTCAAGGATATGTTAACAACTCTAATCAGAAATGATTATATACTCACAAAGTTCCAAAAAAGGTGTGAATGAGTATAGTCTGAGCACCACGCATGTGTGCTGGCACAACAGTAAGATGCAAGGTGGATAATTTTCCTGCATGCCCCTTTTCCATCCAACCCTGTCCCCCATCCTGCCACACTCTACACATGTGATAACCACCTTGGCTTTGGTACGAAGGTTGTTAGAAGCACTCTGGGGAGAGCTGGGTTCTGTCCCACATGAGAGGGAGATAGGTGGTGTGGGGGTGTATTTGAGACAGCTTAATTCAAACAGGTATGGTTTTGGTTTTGCCAATTTGACAGCTTTGGCCTGGAGAAATATTATCCGGATGGCCCTCTGGGGGTAAGAGAACAAAATGATCAGCTATTGGCAAAGAACCAGAAACTGAGGGGGTGTGTATCACTTGGGGAATGACTGAGCAAATTAGGGCATATATATGAATGTATAATGGAATACTAGTGTGTTGTAAGAAATGAAGGGGACAGTTTTTGCCCTGTTGGACCCTTTTGATAAGAGAGGAATCTGAAACACTTGGGCCTTTCTGTGTCTTGTCTTTGTTGAGTTTAACTTTCTAGAAAGAGAATGACAACTCGACTGAGCCAAGGGAACTGAAATCTCAGCTCTCCTGGCCTTGGAGCCAGAGTGGAGCACATCCTTCCAGAGTGCCTTCCTGAGGCAGCCTCTTCCATGAGGGTTATCTGGGAGACTCATTTTCCATTTCTTTCCTCCTCTTGAAGAAAGCCAGGGAAACCAGGTGGTAAAGATGAGGAGGGAGAGCACTGGACACATGGGACACAGCCAGGAAAAATGTCCAGTCGGAGGAGAGGTGTCTTGTGTGAGAAATATCAAAGGAAGCTGGTGTTACTATATCACAGAATCCATGGGAAGGCGAGGTGTAAGAAGATTAGAAAGGATGTGACTAAGCTTGTGGAGTGGGCAGCTAGGTGACACAATGGATAGAGTGCTAGGTCTGGAATCAGGAAGACTCATCTTCCTGAGGTCAAAACTGGCCTTGGTTTCCTCAATTATAAAATGAAGATAATAATAGAGACAGTATTTGTAAAGCACTTAGCATAGTGGCTGGCACATAGTAGGAGCTTAATAAATGCTTTTTCCTTGAAATTCAAAACGTAACAAAAAATAAAAAAAATGCTTGTTTTTTCCTTCCAGCCTCAGTTCTGGAACTATGAACTATGATCAAAACAACTCTGCCATTTTAATGTGGAAATATGTTTTGCATGATTTCACATGTACAATGGGTATTGTGTTTTTTTTTTATCTTCTCAATCTCAATGGATGGGGGAGAGGTAGAGGGAGAGAGAAAACTTATAACTGAAAGTAAAAATCAAATAAATGAAAAAAAAAACAACCACTCTGTCATTGTTCCTGTATGAGTGACTCAATCTATTCCTCTTTTACCCTTCTTAGTATAAATTTAACTTTTTGACTAAGGTCCCCTCTCTGGCCACCACTCCCTTTGTCTTGTCTCTCCCATTAGAATTCTTCTTAAGGGCAGGGACCCTCTTTATTTTTGTATTTAATAATAATAATAGCTAACACATATGTATAGTATAGTTTTTGTATTCCCATATATATCCTACATATACAATATAGGAATGCATATTCCTATACATAGATATGTATCTACATATAGTTCCTATACATCCATATATTCCTATATAGATAGTTCCTATGTTCCTATGGGAACTATATCTATATACACATATATATGTATATATGTGTGTGTATATAATTTGTGTTAATATATATAGGATATCCCAAAAGTCTTAGAGCAGTTTTTAAGCTTAAAATGAGGTGATGCAGTTTGGGGTTGCTGGGCATCCCAAAATGTCAGGGTTCAGGGCAGCCACAGAACTAAACCCTTTTTCTTTTTGGCAGTTCTGGTTAAGTGACTTGCCCAGGGTCACACAGCTAGTAAGTGTGAAGTGTTTGGTCTGAGGCCAGATTTGAATTCAGGTTCTCCTGACTCTAGGGCCAGTGCTCTGTCCACTGAACCACCTAGCTGCTCCAACTCAACCCTTTTTTTCAGTCAAGCGACAAGGTTTATTCTAATGCCAATAGAAGTGGGCAGGGTTCTTAGTGAACCAGTTACTTAATGGGGGTGAGACTGACCGCTTATATACAAAAGGGATAGTGAAAGGATCTGGATGGGTTTACGGGTGCTAAGTAATCTGTGGAGGGCCACGAGCAACAGTGAATGACTCTCAGGTAGGCTAAATAGGTGACCTGGATGGGATTAAAGAGTGGTAGGTATATTCCAGCAGTCTGGGGTGGGCCAAGGGCAACAGTGAAAGGAATGTCAAGTAAGCTAATTAAATGATCCAGGTGGACTGAGGTGGGCCAGCTCCCTTGGGCTGAGGCGCCAGTGGTCTGGGCTGCTGAAATGTCCGGCACAATTCAGGGACTGGGTTGCTTTCGAAGACATGGTCTTCTTTTAGGGGTCCAGGTCCCATCACCCCATCAGAGGGATATACAATACATCTTTTATTCTTGTGTTAATATATAAGATGACTTTTATACTTGTGTGGTTATATAGGATGATTTTTGGTACACCCTGTTTATCACAGATATATTATTAGAGATGACTCTCACCTCCACTGACAATTTTCCTTATCTATAACTGCGTTGATTTTGTTCGTTAACTGTCAACCCCATACTTTGCACGTCTGCAGGAATGCAAAGCCCGCCCTCCTCCCTTTCGGGGAGCCCAGCAGCGGTTCCCTCGCACTCATACAGGCTGATCGCCCTCCTCTTTCCCCAGCCAGACTCTCCTCTCGGCAGAGGAAACTAGACCTACCCGCCGCCACCGCCACCCTACGTTTGCAAAAGGTGAGACTAAGGGAGGAGCAATTTTCAGGGCGAAACGGATCTAGCCTGGGGCTTTAACTTCCCGGGGCCTCAACTTCCTCCTCTGTAAAATCAGGGGACTGGTATCCGAGGTCCCTTCTAGCTCTGTATCTGAGCTATGGCCCCACGAACCCCACGAACCCCACGAACCCCACGAACCCCGCGAACGGGGTGGCAGTCGCCCACTCCTGCCTAGCTGCAGCCACACAGGCATGAGCTCGCCCGAACGTCCGTCCTGTGCCCCCGGGGTAGAAACTGGGCGGAATTCGATTAGGGGGAGGAGCGTGAAGCGTCTGACAGATAGAATATCGGTGCCTCCAAAGGTTCGGAAGCTGGAATGTTCCCGGGAGGGGCCGATGCATCCGGAACGGGACCGGCAGGGGCGGGATAGTGAACGCCCAGCACTAAGCTCCGCCCAGGAGCATGCTAGCCTGATTAGGGTGGCCTTCGCTAGACCCTCAGTCTGCATCTTTGCGCCGTAGGGAGAGCACCATGGCTGCTTCCTGGGAGCCTGAAGTCGGTGCGCTTTTGGAAGAGGCCCGGAGGACCTTCCACAAGGAGTTTGGATCTGCACCCACCCTGGCGGTGTCGGCCCCCGGCCGGGTCAATCTGATCGGAGAGCACACGGACTACAACGATGGCCTGGTGCTGCCCATGGTGAGGGTCCCGGAGTTCGAGGGAGGGTGGATGGAGGAACCTTACAGATCTCCGCGACCCTGACCCCCCCTCTTTTCTCCGCTTTTTCTGTTAAAAGTTTCTTAAGGGAAACTGCCGCACCCAAGTTACTGTAGCAAGGGAACTGGCCCCTTGTTCCTCATGCAAGGGAACGAGCCCCTTGTGCAAGGGAACGCTCCCCTTGTGCAAAGGAACACTTGCTCCTAGTGCGAGTCCGGAGAGGATTCCTCTTGCATCCAGTTCTGTGCCTTTGGGGACTGCTGGGCTTGGGGGTGAGGGCCCGCTGGGCGAGTAGCCGGGCTGGTTCGGGATTGTGGCCTTCTCCCATCTTACTGGGAAGGAAGAAGAGGGATTCTCTGGGGAAACAAATTTCCTGGGAGAAAATGTGACCCGGTTGCAGCTGCTGCGCCTGCTCCCAGGCTTTCAGTGCATCCTCCTGGGTTGCCTGCTCCGGGGAATATAGAGGCGGCGTTTTCAAAAATCAGGGGCTCGTTTTGGAGAGGTTAGGATGGAATCCCTTCTGCCGCTGGACAGACACTCTGAGGTTCCTGTACTCTAGAACAGGGGTGGGGAACCTGCGGTCTGAGGCCACACGTGGTCCTCTAGGTCCTCAAGTGCGGCCCTTTGACAGGATCCATACTTACTGAAGTTTAGGGTCGCAGAATAAGATAAACTATAAAAATTTAAAGCTGAAAAGGACTTGAGAGAGCTTCTAGTATGGAGCCTTTCTTTTGCCTGAGGCCCAGAAGTCATGTAAGTAGTTCTGGCACAACCTAGGACAGGAGTGGGGAACCTGGCCTTCAGGCCACAGGTTCCCCACCACCGACCTATGAAGCCTTCCCAATCCAAGGCCCTTTCTGCTATCCTGTATATTGCTGTTTAAAAAGTCAGATGTTTAGGTTCAAAGTTACTCTCCCCATTCAAGCGATCTGGGCCCCTTTGCTTTTGTTTTCACTCTGACCTCTTCCCCTTTACTATACAGTAGTGGGAGCCCCTGCTTCATGGGGCAGAGTCCAGACCTGTGTTTATTGTATCAGTTGGCCTGATCCCTGAAGATCCAGGAGGGTTGGGGGGTGGGGAGGTGTAGAGGCCCCCACTGCCAGTTTGGTGCTAACAGTTTTTCGGGGGACCATCTCCTCCCCCCCCCCCACCCCCAGTCAGGTGACTATAGAGATCAGTTCCCATTTCAGAGTCCAGGGAACCCAGAACAGTTTGGTGGGAAGGGGAGTCCAAGGCCTGGGCTTCCTGGATTATCTGTTCTTGGCACTCTCCTAATTTTTAAACATTCAGGAAGGTCCTAATGGATACCATAGGCTAAGACCTTTCTCTTCTTCCTCCCTCACCAGGCTCTGGAGCTTGTGACAGTGATGGTAGGAATTCCACGGTTGGATGGTCTCATCTCTCTCGTGACAACCTCTGAGTATGCTGATGAGCCAAGGCAGGTAGAGTTCCCAGTACCCACAGCAGAGCAGCCTCTGGAACCTGGGATGCCACGTTGGGCCAACTATGTGAAGGGGGTGATACAGCATTACCCAGGTATGTGATAGGGAGGAAGGAAGGAGAGAGATCCTTGTGGACAATAACTATATTCTCTGGGAACTGATGGATGAGACACAGTTTATAATGGAGGAGCTGACACCTAGGCAGGGTGGGGGCAACTTTCCCTGATACCAGGCCACCCTACCCCTCTAGCTATTAGGGCATAACAGTTCTTTTACATCCAACTACTACTACTACCTACATAGGTCTCACCTTTGACTTCTTGGACCTAGGTAGCCTCATCTCACAGCCCCCTAATTCTTTCCCCCTAATTTTTTTCCCTAGCAGCTGGTCCCCTCCCTGGCTTCAGTGCAGTGGTGGCCAGCTCAGTGCCTCTGGGGGGTGGACTGTCCAGTTCTGCATCCCTGGAAGTGGCAACTTACACCTTCTTGCAGCAGCTTTGCCCAGGTACTTTGCCCAGGCCCCAGCTTCCCTGCCCTTTCTCACTTAGAATCCCTAACTACTGGAGAAACTTTATTCTTACCGTGGCTTAAGGGAGGGGGTTAGGAATCTTTCCCTGGGTCCCCCACCTTGGAGCTGATTCTTCCCCTTAAAGCCTTATTACTGCCCTTGCACCCTGGACCAACACTAAACAAGGGACCCCAGGGGCAACCTCCTTCCTTGTTTCCTTGTAACCTACTTAGCCCTAGTTCTCCCTCTATATCCCATCTATGTGTCATAGACTCTGGGGCAGCAGCCACACGTGCCCAGGTGTGTCAGCGGGCAGAGCACAGCTTTGCAGGGGTGCCCTGTGGCATCATGGACCAGCTCATTTCACTGTTCGGGCAGAAGGGCCATGCACTGCTCATTGATTGCAGGTCAGGGACTTTGTTCCTCTTCCACACTCTGTATTCCTGGCTTCTCTGCTGCTTCTCTTATCCTGGTGTTCTCACCCAGCCCAGAAAGGGCATAAGGGTGGCCTTTTCCTGTGCCTCTAGGGGTGGATGGTGCCCATTAAATGACATGAGATGTGAACCCTTGGTCTTTTTTCTGTCCCCAGGTCCCTAGAGACACGCCCGGTGCCCTTGTCAGACCCCGGGGTAGCTGTGCTCATTACCAACTCCAACGTCCGTCACTCACTTGGTTCCAGTGAGTACCCTATACGGCGACGTCAGTGTGAATTGGCTGCCAAGGCACTGGGCAAGAAGAGTCTGCGAGAAGTAGACATGAAAGATCTAGAGGGTGAGGGATGGGTAATATTGTTGGGGAAACGAGCAGGGTGATGGGCAGAGTGAGTGTGTGTGTGTGTGTGTGTGTGTGTGTGTGTGTGAGAGACTATGTGACTATCCAGGAGTCCTTCGCGTGAGCTTCCCTCCTGGCCACCAATACTACCAAACCTAGTAATCCTGAGACCTACCCAGAGACCCTTGCCATAATCTGCACTCAGACATCGGGGAGCCCTATAGACACTCTTCCTCCTCAGGGCACCCCACTCCTACCGTAGCGTGTCAGGCATTGCTGAGACTCGTTTTCTCTTAGCTGGGAAGGAGCTGCTCACCAAGGAGGAACACCGGCGGGCACGGCACGTTGTGGGTGAGATTCAGCGCACATCTGAGGCTGCAGCTGCTCTGAGTGCAAGTAACTACAAAGCTTTTGGCCGACTCATGGTGGAAAGCCACAACTCTCTCAGGTAGCCCTGGGTGCCTTCCCACATCTAGCACAACAGATGTCCCCTGAGTCTGGGCTCTTCCTGGCTCCTTCCCCAAACCTTACATAACCTTGTGACTTGTCCAGGGATGACTATGAGGTGAGCTGCCCTGAGCTGGATCAGTTGGTGACGCTGGCCCTCTCCGTACCTGGAGTGTACGGCAGTCGCATGACTGGAGGCGGCTTCGGTGGCTGTACGGTCACCCTCCTGGAGGCAGATGCAGCGACCAGAGCCATGCAGCATATCCAGGTAGGTAGCCATCTGGGGGTAGCGGGAGTGAAGAAGGGGGTCCTGGGCTCTTGTACTCAGACCCTTTTTCTTCCACAGGAACAATACAAAGGGACTGCCACCTTCTATCTCTCGAAAGCAGCTGATGGGGCCAAGGTACAGCCTTTGTGAAGGGTCATTGTAGATAGAAGTACAAGCTGGACACCTCACACCTGAGAGGACCTTTCCCTGGGTGGGTGATGGACGACGATGGGGGAAGCCATCTGTGTATGAGCCATTAAATCACTAATAGATTTCTACAGCTTGGAGTGTTGTATTCTGGGAAAGCAATTCAGGGACCAGAGAGGGCATTCTATCAAAGATGATAGGCCTCTCTGCTCCCAGGGGGCTGGCATAATGTTGGGTCCTGGAGGCATGAAGATGGAAGAGCCCATTGGTAGCAAAAACATTTATTATTAAGTGGCACGACAAAGATTAGAGGCCCCCCTCCCCCCCTCCACGCTCTGACCTGCCTCAGCTCTTTGGTTACAAATTGGGTTTGGAGCTAGAGGAAAGGCCAGGCCTCTGGGATAGCATTCCCATTAACTGCACCCTCATTCCCCCCTGCCCCACAAGGAGTCCGTACCCCTACTTTGCCCCCTTGAGGATGAGCAGAGTTGGGTTGGCAAAGAGTAATGATTCCCTCACCCCCTCCAGGAAGCAACACAGGCTGAATTAGGAGAAAGAAGGAAGGTGGTGGGGGAAGGTGCGCTGGTATCTATGGGACTCTCATGTCTGGAAGAATTGGTGTTCCACCTGCTTGGTTAAGGTGCCGCTAGATGTCAATGTTCGGCTCACAAATTCCTGAGTCACATGGCGAGTGAGGGAGCTGCCAGCCTCCATCTGCTGGGTCCTCAGGGCCAGTCCATCTGCAGGGGATAAGCAGAGTTGGAGGTAAGAGCTCTAGGCGCATTCTAGGAGCCTCTCCCTTGTCACTCACTTCATCCCCAAAAAATGTAATTAGTGAGTTGTCTCACAGTTGTATTCCTGCCAGAAAGGACCAGTCCCAGCCTGGCCAGGTCCACCCCTCCCACAAATACCAAGCCTCACCTGCTAAGAAGGGCTTTGTGATGCTGGAGTGGGTGGCTGTGGTGATGCTGCTGTACTTGCTGGGAAACTCAGATATCTCCTGCTGCAGCCCAAGGTGTCCCAGCTGTGGAAAGGGACCTGGAACAGGAATCGCCAGGGGAAGTCATGGCAATGTTAGGAGGTTGTTCAGGGGCGCCAGGGAAAGAACAGAAAGGCGAGGCTGGGGAAGGGTCCTCGACCTACCTCCTTCTTGAGACTCAATGGTGATGATACCCTCACGCTCCGGCCCAAAACCTTGTGTTGTCTTGGCCTGGACTTTGAATTTGTAAGGCACGTTCTCACTCAGACCTGGCACTGTCAGCCGGTTCTCCAGGCTGTCGCCATCCACCTGGAAGGTAGTGGATGGACCTGAAGGGAGATGTGGGTGGGTCAAGAGCAAGGTTAGGAGCTCCTTCACTTCCTAAATGTCCCCTCTCTGTCCTCCCTCTGCTAGTCCCACTTCGTAGGGTCCCTCCCTTTTTTCTGGTAGAGATTAGATAAAGTTGGGATCCCTGGGTGTGAGAGCCATGGGCAGCTACCTCCTTGGGCCATCTCACAGGTCACCAGGTACCCCAGAATGTCCCCATTGGGCCGACGTGGTCGTTCCCAGCTCATCTGCAGAGAGTCCGGACTTAGAGCTGTGAATACCAAGGGGCCCGGGGCACTGGGAGTGCTCAGGGTGAAGGTTGAACCTGAAGAAAGAGTAGGGGTGAGATTCAGTCAATAAACATTAAGTGCCCACTGTGCCAGGTACTGTGCTAACTTTGAGAAAGAGAGGGGGTATGGAAATAAGAGGGGAGCCTCTCTTGCATTGTGCTCAGTCAAGCCCAATTTAGCTTCCCAAGTAAAAAATGAGTGGGGGGCAGGAAGGTTGGTCTCACCTGGCAGAGGACAGAGTGGGCTTTGGGGGTGCACCTGGGACTCAATGGTGATGACACCCTCACGCTCTGGACCCCAGCCTTCCTGGCTCTGTGCCCGGACACGGAAGACATAGGAGTGATTAGGCAGGAGGTCTTCCACCACTACGGAGGTCTGGTGAGGTTCGGGAATGTGTAGCCTGTGTAGCTCACCTTGGGGAGGGAATGAACAAAAGGGAGTGGGTCACCATCACACCTTGGGGTCCAAGACCCCGCACTGGAATATTTTTCTTCCAGTCCTGTTCACTTTGTGACATGCTGCCTCACAGATGGCATGAAAGGGCTTCCCTGGACCAGATTTCTATTTGTGAGCAGGTGGGTTGACAATACTGGGATGGGACCAGACCCAGTGAGGGCCTTTGAAATGCAAAAATGAGAAGAAAAGGGAAAGAATAGAACTGGAAGAGGAGAAGGAAGAAAGACCAGAAATGAGTAAAAGTAGGAAGAAGTAGAAATACTTTGGGGAATATTTAGAGATCTTTTTCTGAAATTTGCAAATGGAGAACTAATTTCATTCTTCCCATAAATTTCTATGCTTAGCTCTGGGGCAGGAGTGGGGAACCTGCAGCCTCCTTCTAGGTCCTTGGGTGCAGCCTTTTTGACAGAGTCCAAGTTTTACAGAACAAATCCTTTTATTTTTTTTTTAATTTAAATTTATTTAGTTTTCAACATCCATTTCGATAAGATTTTGAGTTTTAGATTTTCTCCCCCTCCCATTTCTCCCATCCCCAGTTGGCATACAATATAGGCTCTATCCTTTCATTAAGGGGATTTGTTCTGTGAAGTTTGGATTCAGTCAAAGGGCTGAACTTGAGGACCTAGAGGGCCACATGTGGCCTTGAGGCTGCAGGTTCCCTGCTCCTGCTCTGGGGCTTGGTGGTAGAAAGAAAAGTAAGGTGCTGTCTACCCTCATTAGACCATAATTTTTCTTTTTGTGTTTCTTTTGTGGGTATTTGACTAACTTTGACTAACTTCATTAAAGCATCTAGAAACCCAGGTTGAGAAATAATGAGCTGATCTCCTTTTGGGCACACACTCCCCAGGGCTATACTGTGAGATACTTAGAATTACAGAATCTCAACAGTTAGCAGTTCAGAAATTCTGTCACATTTTTGACCTGGAATCATCCAGAGGGGAACACTTCTGTGGGCAGGAGTTATACTATCAAGGATTAGTGTCTTAAATGTTATCATTTTCTCACCTGATCCCAGCCCCTTTTGAACTTGAGTAGGAATACTCCAGAAGGTCATTGCCTGGCAACCATGGCCCAAACAGCCAGCTCTTTGATCTGGAGTAGGAGCCATTAACCTCTCACCCCCTAGGCACCATCATATAGACCAGCCTCACAAGCTAGCCTGAGAGCCTGGCGTGAAAATGTGCCCATCCTGCTGGGTAGCTCTTGGAGTCTGATGTGGTCCCGTGGGGATGCCCCTCACCTCCGCTCAGCAATTGGTACTCCATGCTGTATCCTTGCAGAGCCCGATCACATTGTGGTTCCTGCCAGCTTACTTTCAGGGATGTGGGTCCCAGGGCCGAGAACACCAGGCGGGTGGGAGTGTCAGGCACCCCAGAGGGCAGGCGGGATTCTGGAGGAAGGAAAGATCCAGGTAGAAAGGAGAGGGGGCAGGGGGCTACAGCATGACTGGAGAAGACAGTTAAGTTTGGAATTGGCTTCTATAGGAGGGCCTGGCTCCCTTTCTCGTGCCATGGTGGGTAAGGGTCCTGAAAACAAGTACCTCCAGCCCAGGGTGGCTCATTCGCTTGGTAATATCCCCTCAAAAGGAATTTGGTCCTTGTCTTTGCCAAGAGCCCCATCCACTATGCTGCCCCCTCCCTCTAATCAACCTTCACACAGAGGAACAACCGAAGATTTTAACCCTTCTCTTCCCCATCTGCATTCCCCCCACCTCCTTCCCTCAGGAAAGAGATATCAGAGTGTCATTAGAACCACAGCACAAGCAGGGAGGTGAATGGTTAGCGGCTCTAATGGGCCCAGCATGGAATCTGCAAATGGAATGGGAGATAATGAGGTGGTGGTTGTTGCAATGGGCAGGTGTGCAGATGAGGACAGGGCAGCCACTGCAATATGGAACAGAGCACCGCAGGCTCTACCTGGGCCCCAGGTGTGTGTTGCTGGTCTGGCCAGGATTACAGAGTCCTGAAAGCTACTGTAGGAGTGCAAACCCTTCACCTGAACTCCGTCCTTTGGCACAGAAACCCCAGTATACTTGCTCCCCCCATCTTCCTGAATGGGAGGGAGGCCTAAGGTAGATAAAATGGAGAGAGTGAGAGGTTGGGGCAACATTCGGCTGTTGTGTCAAGCCTGTGGAAATCTAGAAAGACAGGATTAACAGAAGAACAGGGAGGCACATGAATGAGGGCCCCCTGAAGATGAATACAGCCAGCAGAAAGCCCCCTCTCCCCCAGACCCTCACACCCCCATCAGTCATTGGTTGCTCACCATAGGAAGAGACAGACGCCAGCGTAGAGTAGTCTCTGGGCAGAGTTGTTGAACGCTCTGTACGAGTCAGGGAATGGTAATCTTGGGTGAGAGTGGAGGAAGTGCTTAGTATTCGGTGCTGTGGGTGGGGGCTCAGGTGGCTGCTACCCGTAGATGTGATGGTGGTAATCCTGTGCAGGGAGTTAGCACTGCCTGGGAAAGCGTAGTCCAGCCTTCCATTAAGTAAGTGCTCTGCATGGGGAGTGAGGGAGGGTAGGTGGAACAGATAAGAGAATCAGGCTCCAGGGTCAGTGGAAAAGATATCAGAAGCCAATCCCCTCATTTTATTGATAAGGAAACTGAAGCCCAGAAGTCCTGCCCAAAGCCACGTAGATGGTCAGATGAAAATCTGGCTCCAGGTTAGGGGGTCTTTCCACTCTATACTGCCATAACGTCCCAGGCATAGCCCAACCTTTTTGGTGAACTTATGAGGTAAAGACCTCATCCCACCCCCAAACCTGATTCACACTACATTACTATTACTTGCAATCTGGGCACGGGGTGGGGGGGAATGATGGGGAAAGCAGAGAATTAGATTCCTAGGAGCTTTTGGCCCAAATTCAATTTCCCCAGGGTTGAAGCCCTTCTAATTGGCCCCTCAATTCAGTGGAATTTGCTGGGGGTCTGATTTACATCAGATAAATTAGATAAATCATCAGATAAATTTAGATAAATTCCACCCTCATTGTGCCTGCTTCCTGCAGATTGCACATTCTCTCTCTTGCTGGCTCCTAAACCACTCCTCGAAGTCCGGGAAGGAAGGGTTTCATTCGCCTCCTGCTCCTTCTCAGAACTAAAAAGGGGGCAGACTCCTTGCTCCTCAAGGCAGCAACTTCCAGGGAAGACGTGCGGTCTCTGCCTCGAAAGCTCCAGGAGTTAGGCTGATCCAGAGACCTTCTGAGATCAGTTCCTTTCATGAGCCACCTTTCTGACCTTACCAAACACCAGCTCTGTTCCATCACCCTGAACACGGTTGCCATTCTCTTGCCAGGGTGCGTGGAGTGGACATACGTGTACCTATCTGTGGTGTGTATGTGCAGGGCACTGCCAGCTGTACCAGCTTGTCCATCAGTGTTAAGGGAAGAGGGGGTGGGGAAGTTAAGGAGCAAAAGTTGTGTGTGCCTGACTCTTGGACAGCAGGGCAGGGGCTTCCTCTGTCACCTGCTGGGGGCTGGGGCGTCCCCCTTCGGGGGAGGCTGCCTCCTGGGTTGCTATCATCTTGGGGCAGGATGAGCCCCTCAGCCTCAGAGGAGAGCCCGCTGCTGCTGGACAGGCGGGGGATGAATTCTGGGGGCAGCTGCCACGTGATCTGCCGGAAATTCAGGTTCTCCCCTGGCAGTGGCTCGAACTTCCAGCCGGAGCCTTGGGAACAATGAAGGGGCAGGTTGGCACTGCCCCTTGGGGTGGAGATAGGTTTGGCTTGATAGGAGTGACAACCTGTAACCGCTTGGCAGGGTGGGGTCAGAACTAGCTGCCTGCGGTGGCCACAGTCAGTATCTGAGCCATCAGCCCATCCTTGGGAACAGCCTGAACACTGAGGAAGTGCATCCTTGGGAACAGCCTGAACACTGAGGAAATGCATAGTTGTTGATATGAAGAGAGAAGGTCACAGGAAGAAAGCAAAGAAGACCATCAAAGTGACTTCACAGGAGGTGGGTAAAAGCAGGTCGGATTGAAAGTGTGTTTCCCTCAGTCTGGGACCAGAGCCCTGGAATGCTCTAGCTATAAGATTAAAGAAACAAGCCTAGGGAGGGAAAATTACAGAGTCACGGTCACACAGCTAGTTATTATTAGAGCTGGGACTTGAATTCATATTTCAAACGAGGGCTCTCCCAGTCTCTTAAAACAGGTCAGTGGCCTCGTTTGGCTCAAATCCCCTCCCCATCCCCCCTTTAAAGCTGAGCAGTGCCTATGGGCCCTCCTACAACGCCAGAGGAAATCGATGGTGGTACTGCACATTGATATTAGCACTTCATACTCTTAAAAATCCTTTCAAATCTGTTATTTTCCATGATCTTCACAGCAACCCATGATAGAAGTCACACTAGGAGTTAGCAGTAGTGCCAAGAGTGGACCCTCTTTCTGCCACACTTGTCAGGCAGAGAAAAGAAGGGACAAGAGGAAGGTAGAAAAGATAAAGGAAGAGAAAGAGATGTATATGGGGGAAGGGGTGATGGGGCATAATATCATTGAGAGCTATCTCAAGTCCTGCTAGGAGAATGACTCTGGCTCCAGCCCTGGGGCTCCCAGACCCCTCCCATGTAATAGTCTGGAGAGATGTGTGTCTCTTAGTTGAAACTAGAGGCAAGTTGGGACCATCTGCGTGTTTTCCTGCCAACTAAGGCAGGGTGATTTTTGCTATGCCTACCTCTGACACTACTGCTTTGGTTACTGCTGATTCTGAGGGTGACAGGCAGATGTTCTCATTGAATGAGTCTCTAGGGTCCTTCCAACAGTCCCTTAAGGCTACATTGTGTGTTTCCCCATAAGTTTTCAAATACATATAGCCCAGTATCCATTTACTTGATGTGACACTCTGGTCCCATGACAGTTCATGACGGGTTGGAAGAGCGGCAAAAAATGAGTGCTGTTTTCCCATTTCCCTCCCTCTGGCATCAATCCTGCCTTCCTTTGTCCAAGAGCCGTCCCCAACCAGGATCTCCCTCTCCCAACCTTTGCCTTCCAAACTCAAAGTACCTGTGTCATCAGAGACGCTGGGTCTCTGGCTGCTGGCAGGGGAGCGCAAGACATCGTCGCTGTACATGAGGAAGCTGTCATAGTCTTCCCCTCCCTGGGCATCTACGATGGGGATGTCTGGGATGATGGGGACTAGGGACAGGAAAGGAAGGAAGTGAGCTGGGATTTATGCTGCTATTCCTTTTTCCCTCTTGGCCTCCCTACGTAGCCCAGATACTCACTGGACATGGGCCGTTTAGGTTGGGTAGCAAGATTGATAATGGCTTCTCTCTCTGGCCCCCAGCCTGCCCCATTGCGGGCCTTTACTGTATATCTGTAGGGCTGTGATTCTCGAAGGTTCTCAATCAACAATGTCCGCTTCTTGGGTGTATCCACCAGCACTTTCTTCATGGGCCCGATGGGTCCTGGAGCAAGAGAGAGAATATCATGCCTTAGTTCTAACACAGACTCACTGGGTGACCTCAAGAAAGTCATTTCAGCTCTTTGAGTGTCCATTTCCCCTTGTGCAGCAATGGGTGAATATCCCCTGACTCTGCAAAAATACCCTCTTTCCTTTCTTTCATACATCCCTATGTGTACTGTCTTTCCTCATTAGAATGTAAGCTCCTTCAGGGCAGGGGCTTGTATCCCCTGTACTTAGCATAGTGCTAGGTACATAGTAAGCACTTAAATGCTTGTTCTATGTATGTATGTATGTATGTATCTATCTGTCTATCTAGATATGAGGATAGAATTAAAGATCCCAAAATTCAACAAGTTGTACTTGATTGGTCAGACTCAATTTTTACTTGATGCATTATTCATAGCATCTATAAAATTTCATATCAGCTTCCTTATGGCCTTTCCTCCCCCTCTATGAATCCCACCGTTCTCTGTTCCAGTGTGGTTCAGTGTAACAGTACCTGACTGTCAGCTGTATGTCCAAGCAGAGCCAATGTATTATAAACTTGTATGAAAAAAAAATTCAGGGAATGTACTCCATTCTCTCACCCCTATAATTTCTGGATTATCAATTGGTCGGGATTAACTGTAGCACTGTACCTTCCATAAAGTAGAAAGTTAGATAATGCTGTTGTTATTAGACTATGTTGAAGTATAGCTTTTACCCCTCTGGCTTCTGTCTCCTTCTATACATGCCCAAATGTGTTTTGACATTACCACCACTCTTCCTAAAGGGTCTTAGATAGTGGAAGCTGACACCACAAGTTTTTGTGGGGTGGGAAGAGGTCACATAGTCCTTACTGTTGTCCTCGTTGACCAGTCCATAGCAGACTTCATAGGCTGTGATCTCCCCATTAGTCTCAGCTGGCTCAGCCCAGCTCAGCTGGGTGACAGTGGAGGAAACAACATTGAAGGCCAGGCGTCCAGGCTCACTGGGGACTGTGGTTGATTAGAGTGGAGAGACAAGGAGAAAACAGTCAGTGGCGGAAAGAGGAGCAGGAGTCCCCAGGGATCAGGAAGCACGAGAATGTGATGGATGAGGAAAGGAGAGCAAGGACTTCTGAGGGCTGGGGTAGGAAGGTTCCTCTGGGAGCCATGGGGATGAGAATAGGAGGGATTTATCTTTGGGAGAAGAGAAATCAGAAGAAACAACCTTGGCAAAAAACTGGAAATTGCAGGGATGCCCATCATTTGGGGAACGGCTGATACAAGTCGTGTTATCTGATTGTGGTGGAATACTATTATGCTGTAAGAAATGATGAGCTCAATGATCTTAGAAAAACATGGAAAGATTTGCACAAAATAATGAAGAACAACATAAGCAGTACCAAGAGAACATTGTATACAGTAACAAAAATATTGTTTTAAAAAGGACTTTGAGTGAATAAATTATTTTGACTATTGTAAATACCCAAATTAGCTATAAAGGACATATGAAGAAAAACACTACATCCAGCGAAAGAACTAATAGAAGTATATACAGAATAATTTTACATGTGTATATGTATATGCATGTATATGTATATGCATGTATATGTGTGTGTATATGTATATACCTATTTGTGTCTAATGGTGGCCATCTCTAGGGCAGGGGGTGGGGAAGGAAAGAAAAAAAAAGGATAAAAAAGAAATTTACATGATAACTTTGTTGTATATTTAAAAGGAACAGCAAGCTGTACATAGTAGATTTGCAGTTTAATGTACAATTATCTTTTTTATTTTACTGTGCTATAGCTTTTTTTATTCCATAAATTAAAAATAATTTCTTTTTTAAAATGAAGGAACAACCTTGGGGCAGAGGGTCTGGGAAAGACTTACCTTCCTCATTGGTACGGCAGGATACCAGGGAGCTATAAGGCCCCTCACCCATTGGCCCATAGGCACAGACCTTCATCTCATAGTCACAGTACGGGTAGAGGTTGGTGAGCTCCACCGAGGGTACTTTACAATCGATGAACCGAGCCTCCGATTCAGGGTCACCCTGTATCCAGTATTTTACCTGTACCCACAGGGAAAGATGTCAGAAGGAAAAGGACCCTCTCTTGGGTTATAATACATAGTGGCAAGCCACACATCAGGAAATAACCAAGGACAGTCTATCAGCCAGTCAAACAATTATTAAGCACCAACTCTGTGCTAGGCACTGTGCTAAGTGATGAGGATATATTCCCTCAAGGAATTCATAAGCATAATAGAGAAGACAATAGGGCAAGGCTTTAAAAATGTGAGAAGATATGCTGTGCCTTCAGTGACTATTGAAAATAGTCCCAGGACCACAGATTTAGAGATCATCTAATCCAACCCCCTTATTTTATAGATGAGGAAAATCGAGGCCGGAGATGTAAAACCATTTAACCCAGAATTGTTAGCCAGTAATTGACTCAAGGGGGCCGCTAGGTGGCGCAGTCAGCCCTCTTACCTTGTACCCAAATGGCTTGCCAGGAGGTGGTAGCCAATTGAAATGGATCCTACGTGAACCAACGGCCTTGGCACTGGGGTTCTGAGGGGCACCTGGATCAGCCCGGGTGGAATATGACGACGGAGTCTGGCCAACGAACTCCCTATCCAGACTTTCTGGAGTGAACGGGAAGAGAGGAACATCCTTATTTAAGCACAAAAACAAAGCACAAACATAGAATCTGGTCGCTTTTGTGCTATTAGAGGGAGCCGGACACTCAACAGATGACCCTAATGGGCAGGTTAGGACTGATTTCTCCGAGGTCCCCAGGGGCTGGTTGAGGTTTAGAATCTCACTCTTCAGGAAGGCAAAGTTCTGAGGAATGCTTCTAGGGGGATGAGCAGGTCAGACGGGGTCTCAAGATCCCTACCCATCTATAGGGCACCTAGGGTTTCAAGAAGTAATAAGCAAATTTTGTTTTTAGTTCCTTGTTCCACATCTCCGGTGGCTTTCCTTCCTGTTACTCGGGACTCTCAATTTTCTTCTTTCTTTCTCTTGGGTCTGAAACCCCCATAGTCATAGGGCATGAAGGTATTTAGAACTGAAAATGGCTTAATGAGATGCTCCTTCCAGATGGTTTAAAAAGGGGGGCCCAAAACCCTAATGGTAGCATTTCAGGCACCTTCAACAGCTGGGAATTTGGGAGGCAGAATTCCTAAATCACTCCTATGCCCAGGCAGGGTCTTCCCCAGAACGTCCCCCTCCGTCTCTCCGCCACATCAATTACCGATGAGGACTGTAGCAGAGTGTGGCTCGCCCAGCCGAGCGCCATACTTGGGGTTGGTTAGGTAGATGTGGAAACGTCGGGCGTGGTGGCCCAAAAGGAGGGAGTCCATTTCCTGCAGATCTAGCAATTTCACTTGCAGCTCCTTCTCTGTCTCCCCTGGCTGAAAGAGCAGGTCTCCTTCCACAGGGATGTAGTCCTAGGGAAAAGCGGGGTCAGATCCACAGCGAGAAGCTGACATCAGGAACGTGGGCGCATGGGGAGCAGGAGAAATCACAGAACCACACAGAGACACCCATCCGATCACACCCAGACACGTCTGAGTATAGACACGGATACGATGGTAGCCACAGTTACACATAGCTGCTCACCTGTCTCCTCTCCCATCTTACCACAGTGCTTGACTCTGCCCTAAATGTCAATCCTAACCTTGTTCCTTAATGACGGTTATATGGTGAGATCCCCATTGGCAGCAGGGACTATCTTAAATAGATATTTGAAAACATAACTAGCAGTGTGGTATAGTCAGGAAGACCTGGGTTCAAGTCCAATCTCTGGCTGTGTGACTTTTCACAAGTAACTTAACCTCTCATTGCCCTCTGCACTGGTAGAAGGAGTTTCCATATTCAGTGTTCCCCCTACCAATGAAATCACAGGTCTGGTCCAAAAATATAAATATATAAGTATATATGTATGTGTTTGTATGTATGCATGTGTATGTACGTATATATGTATGTATATGCATATATGTGTGTGCACACACATATATACAAATACACACATACAAGAATCATGTTAGGGTCATACTTATGGTCCATCCAGTCCTGTATTCCCTTGTGGCCCTTTTAGCCATCTGTATTTTCAGTTTGTACCACCTTTGGTGGCACAATGGATAGAGTGCTGGCCCTGGAGTCAGGAAGACCTGAGTTCAAATGTGATCTTAGACATTTATTATCTGTATGCACCTGGACAATTAATTTAACCCTGTTTGCCTCAGTTTCTTCAACTGTAAAATGGGTTGGAGAAGGAAATGGCAAACTACTCCAGTATCTTTGCCAAGAAAACCCCAAATGGGATCACAAAGAATCAGATACAAGTAATTGACTAAACAACAACAAAAACCTCTGATGGTAATGAGCTCCACATGTGAGCTGCCTGTTATGTGATTTAAAAAAACTTCCTTAATTTGTTTCAGGCGTGTAGCTGGGTGAGTGGTGGCTGCATGTGTGTAGTACTGAGAGGTTTTGCCCCTGCTCCCTCTTTCTGGGATCTGCAGCCTTTTCTATCTTCTCTCATAGCTCTGGGTCACTGGAAGGTGATTAGGGGTGAGGGGTGGGGTAGGGCAGAGTAAGTCCTGCCAGAGAAGTCCAAATGATATCGGGCCACTTGGTACTTCTCTCCTCCTGGGGAGGGGAAATGGTTATTGTCTCCTGAAGCCTGAGGCAGAGCTGTAACTAGGGCAGGACCATTAGAGCTTTGTCCAGGGTACAGACATGGGAAGGTACATTCAGTCAGTCTGCCCTTTGCTGCTTATACCACTAGAACTACTTTTTTTTTTTTTTTTTGGCTAGGCAATGGGGTTAAGTGACTTGCCCAGGGTCACACAGCTAGTAAGTGTCAAGTGTCTGAGGCTGAATTTGAATTCAGGTCTTCCTGACTCCAGGGCTGGTGCTCTATCCACTGCACCACCTAGCCGCCCCTCACTAGAACTACTTTTTAGGTTATGTGAAAGGATTCCTAGTTATAGTCCTGGCATAAGGTTGGTCCTATGAGTTTGACATCCCCCAAGATGGAAAAGGCATCAGAACAAACATGAAGAATCCTAAGAGATTGTAAGACCAAAAATTTACTCATGTTTTCTAAAAAGCATTTACATTCATTGAGGGTGCGGCATAATATATTCAAGGAGAGTTAGAAATGCTTAGGATATAGTAATAATAGTAGCATTTATACAGCACCTACTATGTGCCAGGGACTGTGCTAAGCACTTTACAAATATTATTTCATTTGATCTTCATAACAACCCTGGGAGGTAGTTGCTATTATTATTCCAATTTTACAGTTGAGGAAACTGAGGCAGACAGCAGTAAAGCGACTTGCCCAAAGTCACACAACTAGTAAGTGTCTAAGGCTTGATTTGAACTCAGGTCTTCCTCACTCCCAGCCTAGTACTCTGTCGACTGCACCATCTGATCTGCGTAGAATGCCATCATGGAGAAAGGCTACTACAGAACATACCTCAGCGACAACACCACAGAGTACCGAACGGACCATGTATCTGACTCTGTGTGGCGTTTCTGATATTTCTTGGGGAGGCTTTGGTACTAGGAACAAGGCCAGGGAGAGGAGGGTAGAGACGAGGATTATCTATCCAAAGCCACTTGGGCATATCCTCCAAAGAGACCAAATCACTAATGAAAATTCCCAAGGACCCAAGCCACTCTTCCTTCCCCCCATACACACACAGAAACACACACAGACAGAGGGAAAAGGGGCATCCTATTGCCTCCTCTGCGCACAGGCCCCACTGCCTGCTCTAAAAAGCTCTTACCCGGTTGGCACGGGCTGTGTTATCTTGTGTACGATAGGAGACTTGAGACTTGCCACTGTCCATGATGCGTCTGGTAACGGGAATCCGGGCAACCTGGTCCAAATGGCTGAAGGAATATTCTGGCTGATCAAATGACACTATCCCACTGGCTGCAAGAAACCATGGCAGACAGTGTGGGCAAGGGGAGGTCTCAACCTTCCTCTACCCTTTTTTTGGGTCAAGGTGGAACCTCCTTAATTGCATCTCCTAACCTCATTCCTGAGACCATATCAGCAACAACAGAGGAAACGTCTTCGTTATTCTCATCGACATGAGAAGAATGAGATTAATAACAATAACCAAAAAAAGAGATTGAGACTGGACCTGTGATTTCATTAGTATAGCAATCTCCCAGCTGAAGAAAGTTCCTCTATCAATGCAGGCTGGCACCCTTCTCTACAACGTGCAGTCTTAGAAAATTATCTAAAGCACTGAGAGGTTAAGTAGCTTGTCTAGGGTCACACAGACAGTATGGATCAGAGGGAGGACTTGAACTTAGCTCCTTCCTGGAATTTCTCTTTACTATATCTTTACTATATCAAATGACACGTATGTAGCATTGTAAGGTCTGCAAAGCAATTTGTATGTATTATCTCTTTTGATCTTCACAACAACCCTATGCAGTACCTACTGCAGACATGGAAACAGATTCAGAGAAGCTGTGACTTGGCCAGCACAGGCAGTAAAGAAAGTGTTGGAGGCAAGATTGGAAATCATCATGGGAAGCAGCAGACCAGGCATCTTGGCAATGAGTCCAGCAGCATCCAAAGAACTCTTGGGCCCACGTGAAGTAGAAGAAAGGATTCTATGCCATCCTCCTCCTCCATCCTGCCAACATGTTCTATTTCACCCTGAATGTCAATTCTAACCTTGTTCCTTAATGATGGTTATGTTGACCAGGCGACGCCCAATGGTGGCCGTGCCCAGGGGTACATCAATGGCCTCCACCACCAGGTGCTCATCATCATCATTATCTGGACGGATGAAAAGAGGGACTCGAACATCTACCAGCTCTACTCCCTCCTGAAATTCCACCATGCCCCGGGCATCTGGATGGAGAAAGTAGGAAAAGGGGAAGACACATTGGATCAGAGGAGCAAGGTAGAGAAAGGAAGGCAAAGATCATATTATAGGATTTAGAACAGGGCAGAACTTTAGATGATAATGATGATAAAATAATAGTATTTATATAGCATTTGTAAAATGCTTTACAAATACAATTTCCCCTGCTTGGATCCTGCTGTCCACTGAGACTTCTGGGACACCCTGAATTATCTCATTTATCCTCACAACAATCCCAGGAGGTAAGTCCCATTATTACCCCCATTTTATAGTTGAGGAAACTGAAGCAGACAGAGGTTAAGTGTCGTGCCCAAGATCACAGAGCTAGTAAGTGTCTGAGGTTGGATTTGAACTCTGGTCTTCCTGACTCCAAGTCCAATACTTTTCTCTACTGCTCCATCTAATTGCCTTAAAGATCATCCATTCCAACCCCCTGATTTTATAGATAAGGGAACCAGCCTCAAGAGTTGAAATGACTTGCCCAAGTCAACAGATAGTAGGTACTAAAGTCAGGATTTGAATTCAGGACCTCTGATTGCCAATCCAGTTCTCTTTTCATTACACCCAAGTCAGAGTATCCTCTGAGTATGGTCAGCACAAAGCTTGATGGACCATGCCACCTACCCTGATCTCCAGTGAGGGTGTAGTAGCCAGGGGCCACCTTGAGCTCATGGAATGCCCCCTGTGACACTTGCTTCTCTGTCAGCTTCAGCAGAGGCACCTTGGCTGACCGGGGGGCCATCAGCACGGTGTCCACAATTGTATGGTCCTGCCTAACTCCAAGGGAAGAAAAGAAGATCATCAAGATCCAGATTCCCTGTCTTATCTCTGTCCACTAGAGGGATCTATAAGATGGCAGTGTGACTTTCTTATTCTTTGTTATTGGTGCTCAGTCCAACTCAGCACCTCCTAGCACAATGTCTCTTTGTTTGTTGAATGACTATGCATGGATGGGCAGATCCTGAGGGCTCCTTTTTTTTTTTTGTTCTTGTCCTCATTTGTACCTTCTTTCTACTTCTAGTTCTTTATCTTCCCTGCCCCCCACCAACTCCCAATTCTGTCTGGTCTTCTTTTCTGTCCTTTTCTCTCCCCTGCTTTTCTGGCTGTCTACCAAACATGAACGTAGGTCACCAACTGGGAACAGTGGGAGGTCATGGGTGTGATATTGGTGACTTTTCTTGTTAACCTGTCAGAAAGGAAGGAAGGAAAGAAAAAGAAAGAAAGAGACAGAGAGAAAGAAAAAGAGAAAGAAAGAAAGAAAGAAAGAAAGAAAGAAAGAAAGAAAGAAAGAAAGAAAGAAAGAAAGAAAGAAAGAAAGAAAGAAAGAGAAAGAAAAAGAAAGGAGGAAAGGAGGGAAGGGTATTAACTTGTTTTTTTTTTGGCAGCTAAGCACCCACCTGAGAAGATTGTCAAGGGGGTACCCTCCCCATCACTACATAATTCCTTCTTGTTAGAGCCCTCTGCATTTCCCATAATCAGACATAAACCGACATACAGGGGTGCCCAGGACCTGGGACTCAGAACACAAAGCGTCATGGGAGCTCAGATGCCATATGCTTTTTTGGGAGGGCATGAGGATAATGGTGCTAGGCACAGGGCCTGGCAGGTGGAATACAAGTTCTCTACTGGGGGACGTAAACACATTGCTCTTTTCTTCCCTCACCCCATTCCCCACCCCCAAAGGAGAGAAAATGTTAAGGCAGGTAAACAGAGAGAGAAGGAGGATAAAGGGACAGATGTCCGAGAGTTATAGTCCTAGGGTTACCAGCTAATGATCCACTCACTTTTTCCCAGCATTGGGCTGTTGCCTGTGGGAGAAACAGAAGAAATGAGTGAGTTATGCTGTTCTTAGACACTTGAGAAGGGTTGGAGGTGGGGTGGGGGTTGGGGAGGGATATTTAGGACTTTTGGTATTTTCCTGTGCTAGCAGCCCACCTCATAATCCACTACCAGGCTGCAGAGTTAATATAGGGCTGCCCCTGGACCAGTGGGATGGACCATCTTACTCTTTTGAAACACCATCCAGGGAGTCTTGGACCAGGATGGTACTGGCAACCAATGGGCCCAGAGCAGGCACTATCTCCTTAGAGTATGTCAAATTGATCCCATGTCAAGCACTCACCGAAACTTGGTCTGCTGAAGCTTCTGAACCCCAGGGATCTGTCTGTAAACTTCATTCAGCTGAAAAGAACAGAGGTGACGGGAAGTGAGGTTGTCTCTGTGGGACAGTAAAGACCACCTAGAGCCCTGTTCCCACAACTGCCTTTGCACTCACTGTCCCCCATGCCTGAAATGTCCTCCCTCTTCACCTGTGCCTCTTAGAATCCCTAGCTTCCTTTGGCCCTTGACCGAAGGAGGCCTTGCCCCTTCCTTTTCTTCCCTTCCCTTCTTTTTCCTTCCCTTCTTTTTTTCTTTTGTGCCTGGGTCTCCCTATCTCATCCAGGCTGGAAGGGCAACAGCCACTCATATAGGCTTCATCTTCATACTGATCAGTATGGAAACTTTAACTGTTCTACTTTTCTGACCTGGCCCAGTACATCTTTCCCAGCAGCCCTTCACTCCTAAGGACTCTTCCTATTAGTACCAAATTTAGTGGAGACATCCTATTGCCTTTTGTCCCATTGTAGCTCAGAAATCCAGAACCCAAGCAATCCACCAGCCTTAGCCTCCCCAGCAGAAGGAACTACAAGTGGGCACCATCATGCCTGACAGGAGGCCTTTCCTGGTTCCCCTCAACTGCTAGTATCCTCTTCTCTAAAGTTGCCTTTCATCTACTCTGGTTCTATTTAAATTCATGTACATCTCTCCATGCTGTCTCTCCTTTTAGAATGTAAGGTTCTTGAAGGCAGGGACAGTATTTGCTTTTGCTTTGTACCCCCAGTGCTTGGCACAGTACTGATCAAAAAAGTAAGCAATTAATAAATGCTGATTAATTGATTCAGAACCAAGAATGAATTCCCTAGTCAGAATCCTCCTGGGATAAGGAAATATACCCAGGCCGTGGAGCAGAGTTTCCAAGAGCTCAGACCATTGCAGCTTTATTTTTTGGAAAAATGCAAATGGTAGATTGCCCCACAGGCTACCCCTTCCTTCTGAGCACAAACTCTCCAGAAAAGTTCTATCCTTGAGTTAACTCCTTCCCACATACTCTTTTCTACCTTCTTCCTTGATTTGCCATATTCAACCTTGCCCAGAGATTCTCCATTTCCCCCCCACCGAGCACTGCCTTCAGCCTTACATTGTCTTCCACTTCCTGGCGCAGCTGTTCACACTCCCGAGTATCAGGTTTCAGCAGGTTCTCGGTGCAGAGGCGGGCAAGGCGCAGGGATAATCCATATGGGACTGTGTGGAGAAAGGACAGGTCATCTTGGCTCTCTTTCATGGAAGCCACTACAGAGTTCCCACTGCTCAGAACCCACAGAACTTTGTCATGGGTAGGCAACTTGGTAGAATAGCAAGCCTGGTGTATTGTGGGCATGGAATTTTTAGTGTCCAAAAGCACTAGTGTGGTGAGAAGAAAATGGAAGTTAGCTCCATAGCTGGCTGCTCTTGGCTCTTAGAACCCTGTCAGATGCCCTGAAAAGTGACTAAGATGAGTGTCCATTGGGCCTCCAGATTCAAAGCAAGCAGTATCTACAGTACCACTGCTCAGGATGCTGTTCTGAGGAGGGCACCCCCCGGCCATGCCTCTTACCCAGATCTTTGGGATTGGTGGCATGGGTGGTGATGCCAGAAGACTGTACATTGTTGATTTTCCAGCGGACCATGTCACGGCCTTTCAGGTTCCCACTGCGTACCAGTGGCGTATCCAGGTGGTCTGAGGCCATTAGGTTCTCCCTCAACACATAGTGATCTTCTTTGAAACCCACCATGTGGCCTGCAGGAGGAGCAGGGAGATTTCAGTACCAGAGCCACCCTTATGATGTTCATGGAGTATAGTGCCAATGCCCACTCCTCCTTATACCCAAGGATATCAGACTAGGAAAGACACCTGAAGCCACTTACTCAGCTTCCATCATCCTGAGCTTAATTTTCCATCCTGTCTGGGAGTCACTGCTCCCTCTTTCCCTCCTCTACCACTGCCCTTGAGGAAGTGGAAGGCTTCAGCCAGAGCTCCGTTCTCCCTCACCCTCTCCATACCAGTACCCCGTCAATACCTTTGTTGCAGCAGGGGAGCAGGGCCAGGCAGGCCTGTGAGAGAGACAGAAGGAACAGAAAGGGAAAGATGCTTAGTCACTTGAGCTGCTCCTAGTTCTGGATTACCTATTTCTTTTAGGGCCCTATTCATGCCTCTGGGGCAAAGTGGCTACTCTTGTCCTGAGAGGCCTAGTAGCACTAGATTGTGGCGGGGCCTGAGGGCTGGGGTAGGACAAAGGCAGTAGGTATCAGGAATTATGATGGCAGAGGTGGACAGAAAAATGTCTGTGAAGGTCTTGTCCCACTTCACTTAGCCCTTGCCTAGTCTCTATCCTATCATAGTGACCTCCAGTCCTTCCAGGTTATCACTCCTGTTCTGGCTTCTCTTTCTTTCCTTCCCAAATTCCACCATTTAATTAACCAGTTCAGCCCTATACTACTGCAACAATATTGAAAGACTTCAGAACTCTGATTGATGCAGTCACTAGTCATGCTTTCAGGAGACTGAAGGTGAAGCATGCCTCTTACCTCTTGGCAGAAATGTGGTGTATTACAGGCATGGAATGAGGCATACACTTTCAGATGTTGCCAATGTGGTTATTTTGCTAATTGTACTTCATTGTTACAAGAGAAGGTTTTATTGGGGGTAGGGAGTAGTCCTTGGGAAATGACAGCAATGTAAAAATGTCAATAAAACATTTAAAAAGAGAATTCTCTCCCCTTCCCCTTGAAATGACCTTGTATTTTCTTTGTATGTATTTTTTTTAAATATCCCTATAGAAGAAGGAAGGAAGGAAACATTTATGTGCTTACCATGTACCAGGTACTGTGCTAAGTGCTCTATAAACATTATCTCATTTGATCTTTACAACAACCTTAGGAGGGAGGTGTTATTATTATCCCCATTTTACAGATGAAGAAACTAAGGCAGAGGTTAAGTGACTTGCCCAAGGTCACATAGCTAGTGTCTGAGACCAGATTTAAATTCAAATCTCCTTGACTCCAGGCCTAGTATTCTATCCACAATATCTACCTATTGTCTTCATTGGCTAAGTTGCAAGATTCTTATATTCTTAGTGTCTGGCACATAGTAGGATCCTATTAAATGCTTCCTAATTGACTGACCAGTGAATGGATCTGTGTAAATACAGACTTCAATGGTGCAGATTGCGACCCACCCGCACCATCATGTCCTGAACATTTTATTCTCAAATTCTTTCACTCCTTTTTCTATCACTGTGCTTTCCTTGCCATGCCTGGACCATTCCCTCACCATCCCCCCCTCCTCTGCTCTTACTTGAACTGCTGAACAGTGCTGGAGGAAGTCATGCAACCCAGTTGACTGAGTCTGCAACAAATTGATTTTATCTAATTTCAACTGGGCCCTCACTATGGTAAGGAAATATTTTTTTACTAATTTATTTTGATTTATCAACAATTATTTCCATAAGTTTTTGAGTTTTACATTGTTCTCCCCCTCTCTCCCTAAGATGGCATGTAATCTGACATAGGCTAGGTAAGGAAATATTTTTACTCCTCCCTAATTGCTTCTCTAATTCCCCACGGCTGCTGTTCTAACCCTTTTTTCCCTTCTGCTCAAGCCTCCTCTACTTCCCTTTTCTTTACTCTCTCAGCTGACTTTGCCTCATGCTTGAATGAGAAAATCAAGGTCTTTCCTGTGAGCTCTCTCTTCTCACCTGCATCTCATACCCTCTTGACATCATCCCTCCATTCTGTCCTCCTTGACTGCAGTCACTCTGATGGAGGTGGTCCTTCGGCTCACCAGGCCAACCTATATATGCTGGATTTAATCCCTTCTTATCTTCTCAAGCAGAATGCCCCCACAATCATCCCCACTCATTCTCTCATCTTCAATCTCTCCCTATTTGCTGGTTCCTTTCCCACCAATTGAAAACAGGCCACATCTCCTCATTCTTAACAACAAAAACAAACGGAAAAACTCTTGCCCATCATCCTCTCAAGTTAGCATTCTATAGCCTCTCTCTTTCTCAACCAAACTCCTAGAAAAAGATGTCTACACACACTGCCTCCACTTTCTTTCAGTCCTTAACAATTTGGTTTCTAATTTCATAACTCAACTGAAATGGCTTTCTCCAAGGTTGTCAATCATGTCTTAACAACAAAATTTGAATCTGATGGTCTTTTCTCAATTCTCATCCTATTTGATTCTCTGCAGCATTTGTTGTTTTTGACCATCTCCTGTCTTGGATACTCTCTCTGACCCTAACCTACTAGGGTTTTCCTGACAGTGCTCTTTCTTGGATCTTCTACCTGTCTAATTACTACTTCTCAATCCCCTTTGCTGAATCATCACTCTAAATGTGGGCATCCCCTAAAGCTCTTTGAAGGCAAGGACCATTTTTGCTTTTTCTTTGGATCCCCAGCGCTTAACCCAGTGCTTGGCACATAGTAAGTGCTTAATAAATGCTCATTGATTGGTTGGTTGATTCATTGATCCCTTGAACCTATAAGCCCTTCACAGCCTGGCCCCAACCTACTTTCCAGATGTATTACATATTATGCCTTTTCATTCACTCTTCAGTCCAGCCAAATTGGCCTACTATCCTCAGTGTCCAGTTAGCATTCTCCCCTCACCTCTACTTCTTGGACTCTATAGTTTTCTTCAGGACTCAGCTAAATGATTACATTCTACATGAAGCCTTTCCTGATCCCCCAGCTGGTAATGCCTCCATTCCTTCTAACCCTGCCCCCACTTCAGGTAACCTTGTATTATCTTTGCATATATTTTGTACATGTCCACATACGTACACATAGTTTCCCTTGGCTAACTCCTTGTACTGCTAGCATCTAGCATAGTGCCTTGCACATAGTAGGTACTTAAATGCTTCCCTATTGATAGATTTGTGATTTGATCAGTACGGATACAGCTTTCAAAGGTGCAAATTGCAACCCATCTACACCATCACATCCCGAATGACATTTGTTCATGTGTTCCCACAAATCCTCCATAGGTGTCTACCCAATGTAGTGGAGGCTTTCCTCTAGCTTTCTTGACATTTCATGGGTACCAGTGGAACATGTGGCTTGTCCATTGGTTATTCTTCTCTTTCTACAGACACCATTCCACCTCCTTTTTCAGTGTTACATCAAAGAGATATATCTTTTATACCTCTTTGCTGCCATTTTGTTTTTTTTAATAGTCTCATGTATGCCCATCCTCTGTAACCATTCAGACTCTAATTTCTTAGAAGGCAGGGCCTATGTCTTCCATATCCCCATATAACCTGGCACAATGCTAGGCATCTACCCAATAAATATTAGTTGGCAAACTGATCAACTGATTGATCTGGAACCACATGGAGAGACAGGGTGAAGCTGGACCTTGAGTGAGTATGGCTCAGCAAAGTGGATCAGGAAGGTATGGGAGGTAGGGATGGGGGTCTTACCTTGCAGCAGGCACAGTACTTCCAGCAAAGCAGAAGCAGCAGGGCCAAGAGCAGCAGGAGGAAGATAAGCAGTGGAATCAGCCACCAGAAGTTTCCAGGAGGACACTCTAGGACAGGGGCAGACACAAACAGTTATGCAATGGGGAGGGATGGGAAGAAGAGAGCCATGAAACAAAGACTTGTAGAAATACAGAATAGTAGGGACCTTGGAAAGTGTCTAGTCCAGGTCTCTCATTTTACAGAGAAGGAAACTGAGGAGTAAAGAAGGAAGGAAGTGATGTGCCGAGGTAGATCAAGAGCTGTGTTCGGGGAACCCCTTGGGGAAGAGCAGAAGGAAATCAACTTCTTTCTGGGTACCTAGATAGATCTTGCCCCTTAGAGGAGGGTACTCTCTCCCGTCCTGCTCTCTGTCCCACTGGGGACAGGAGCTCCCTCCCTTCCTTTCTCTCTTTTGGCCCCCGATCTAAGTCATTTCTCTCTTTGGGCCTGAATGGCACTCACCTTTTTTCTTATGCACAAGGACGGTGCTGTTGGGCCCAATGGCTTCGTTCCCTTCTACAGTATAGCTGTATGTGCAGTCGTCATCCTCATCACGGAAGGAACAGTATTCCATCACCTCTTCTGCTGTATTCACCATCACAACATGCTACTCCATTAGATAGAGTCACTAACTATGCATACGGCCCCCACCCTCCTGCCCCCAGGAATGGGAGAAGGACGAGAAGGAAGTAAGTGATATCCCAGAGAGCTGTGAAGCAAAGGTCTAGGTCTAGGGGGCGATCTGACTTGGTTAAGCTTTCCTGAGTGGATGGGAAGGGCAAGAGTGGTCTGAGTCTGCCCAGTGGGGTTGTATGGGGCATGCTTTGAGAAAGGCATTCCATTCTAATAAGGAGGACCCAGGGCACTTAGCTGGGCACCTAGCTTTGCCTAGGGCCATTCCGAGAATTTTCCTGGCCTATAGAGAAGAGTTTGTTCATCCCTGGGACATTATGAGCCACTATCCCTAACTCTCCCGACCTCCCTAGGGTATGCTCACAGCTTCCCTATTACCTTTCTTTAGCTCTTCCACCATCTTCACCTGGAAGTTACAGCTGGCACACTTCTGCCCCTTCTTCACACCTGTGCCCCAGGCTTGGCACTGAACACAGGAACGCAGATCCTCACATACCCCTAGGAATGCCTGAATAGGGAAGCAGTCAGAAACGGTTCTGGATGGGTGAAGAGGCTCCTTGAACTCGAGAAACACCTTTTGGAGAGGCCCTTTTGACCCTCTCCTGCCTCCTATCCTCCAGCCCTACTCCTGTGTTTCTCCATGTCCCATACCCACTCCTTCCCTCGGCCCATTCCCATTCTGTGCTCACTGAGGAGTAGCTGATCTCACAGGTGGTATCAGTATAGAGGGAGACTTGGTCACAGTGGCAACGTCCACACTCACAGCGGCCTCGCCCATTACATATGCCCTGTAAAGAGAGGATTCATTACCCTGACCCTCACTCAGCAACCAAAAAGGTCCTAGTTTGGCCAGAACCCAGTCATCTTTTGAGAAGAGGACCTTGCAAACCTCCATGCCTTGCCCTCTCAGTTTCTTTCCAGAGGGTGGCAAAAGTTGGTATAGTCCTCTGGTATAACCCCAACTTCTAGGAGACTCCCAATCCTCATCCCCAGGAAATATCTTCTGTTCATCCCGTCAATACGGCCATAATGATTATGACCATCCAGTTCCCAGTCCTACCCCATTGCTGTCGATGCAGGTGGCGTTGCTGAGGGGACACTCACAGCTCTTTCCTGTCCAGCCCCTTTCACACACACATTGGCCCATGGAGCAGCGACCCCGGTCTGTAGAGAGTGGGAAGAAAGGAAAGCAGACTCTAGTCTAGGTCTCCTGCCCAATGGGGAAAGCAAAGGGAGTCCAACCTTGCTTGCTATGGGACAGCTAAGGGCCAAGAAGAAGGGCTATAAATCCAGCCAGTGGTAGGGCCTGGGGTAAGGGCTATCCATCTATTCATCCAACTACTTAAAAGTATCTAGTGCCTACAATATCCAGGAAGTTCATAGCTGAAGTCTATGAGAAGATGCAGAATATGTCTATGCAAAGTGATAGCTAGGACAGGGTGACTAAGGCATTGATTTGAAGGATGGGGAAATATGTTTCCTTCCAAGGTGGTTGGCTTAGCTCTTCCTCATAGAGGTCTGGAAACAATATTCCCCATACTTCATGTTCCTTTATGCCATTCCCAGAGTTCCAATGCCTCAACATCCCTTGGTCTCTTCAGGGGCAACTTTCTTTTCCAACCCCTGGGAAAGCATGTGAGGTTACACTGTACTAAATATACTGTACTGTACTCTGTATTGCTAATATGCAATTATATGAAGGTAGGATAGGTCCCACCTTCTCACTACCAGCATGTCTATCCTCTGTGCCACTACTCAACCTCCCTAATTATTTTTGCTCTCAATGAAATCTGTAGTCATTGTCAGAGTTGATGGCCTTAAGGAGCTTTCAATCTCGGAGGGAAAGCAAAACCTACCTGACAAAATAATTATGTGTCAAAATTCAGAGAAGGGAAAGATTGTTATTGGTTGGAGTAATGAGAGAGGAGGTAAGACTAAGAACCACAGAATATTATAGCTGGAAGGGACCTTCAAAATCACTGATACCAGGGTTTCTTAACATTTTTTGGTCATAGATCCCTTTGATAATCTGGTGAAAGCCTTCTTAGAATAATGTTTTAAATGTATAAAACAAAAATAAATAGGATTATAAAGGAAACCAATTATATTGAAATACAGTTATAAAAATGTATTTAAAAAAAATCCCAAAACCTAAGTTCACAGGCCTCAGATTAATAACCCCTGGTCCAATCCCTTCATTTTATAGAGGAGGAAACTGACTTGTCCAAGGTCATACAGTAGTTAGTGGTAGAGCTGGGAGTAAGCTCAGGCCTCCTAATTCCCTTGAATTAGGGAATCACTTGAGGGAGGCCTTCCTTAAAGAAAGTTTAGAATTTGGACCAATGGTCAAAGACCATAGTTGGTACAAAATCCTGGTACTTAGCTGACTACCTTGAATACAGTAAGTGTTTGATAAATGTTTTTTGTTGAAACAAATAGAGAAGATATAAACAAACTTCACAGAAGGGGAAGATCAAAGAGTAAATATACACTTGAGAAAATGTTCAGTATCAATGTTAGTTACAGAAATGCAAATGAAAACAAAACCCATTAACCGGCAAAAATTGAAAAAATATATACACACACATATATATACATGCACACATACACATGCACACACACACATACAACCTAAGGTTGGCAGGACTGTGAGGAAATAAACACACTCAGATACTGATGGTGATCACACAAAGTGACATACTCTTTCTCAAAAGCAATCTGACTCTTTGCAATAAAACCATCAAAATAGTCACACCATTTGACCACGTGGTCCTATAGCTGGGGGTGTTGGAAGCGGTGGTAGTAGAAATAGTAATTTATATTTTTGTAGCCTGTAGTGGCCATATGGGCTGCAAGGAAGTGTAATTTCCTCAGCAACCTAAATGGCAGACATAGGACTACATTTCAACACTTTAAAGATTCCTAATTTTCGTGTGTGTGTGTGTGTGTGTGTGTGTGTGTGTCTGTGTCTGTGCCCTAAACTAACACAGATTCCAGTCTTCACGAATTTCTGCGAATGAAAAAAAAAAGCACCCTGAAAGGACAGCGTTCTGGTAATGAACATGTCTGGACTTAATTAGGTCGGTCCTTGGACAACAGGCACAAAATGTCTTGCCTATACTCAAAGCCTTTTCTGCTTGGTAGGACCTACTAGTGTACTGCTGGCATAGGTTTTGAGAACTCAAATGTCACCTCCACACCAGAGGAAAGACCAGTGAAGGAAATAAGGCAAAGGAGGGAAAGATCTATTTGTACAAAGATGTTTATAGCTGTCATATTTATAATAACAAATGACTAGAAACAAAGTAAAGTCCAGTGGCTGAGGAATACTGTACTGGAATACATTGATATATGAAAAATGATAAATATGAAAAATATACAGCTGTGTAAAATGTCCATAGTAAATAATGCAAAGTTTAAAAAAGGGCCAAAAATCACTGTAATATAAAAACTATATATGTGTGTGTGTATGTGTGTGTTATATGTATATGACTATAAAGGAGACTCAAAGTTTGAGAGATGTGGGAATCATATGGGAGAGAGGACCCTGGGAAACTTGGGGTCTCTGTGGAGAGGTGGATGCAGGCCAGTGTGGGGAGTTGATTGAAAGTGAAAGGCAGATTGAGAAACTGGAACTTTGTCTGGCTCACTTATTGGCTTAAGGAATGATCTCTTTGGACAGCATTTGTTATTTGCCTTGGGCCAGGGGTGGGGAACCTGTGGCCTTCTAGGTCCTTGGGAGAGGCCTTTCAACTGAGTCCAAGTTCTACAGAACAAATCCTTTCATTAAGGGGATTTGAGCTGTGAAGTTTGGATTCAGTAGAAGGGCCACCCTTGAGGACCTAGAGGGCCACATGTGCCTGGAGGTCGCAGATTCCCCACCCCGGGGTGCTCTTCGGTGCTGTTGGGGACCTGGTGAAATATCCACTCTTCACCTCCTCCTCCTGCCCTGCCTTATTACTGCCTGGCAAACCAACATTACACTATTCACCCTTTGGGAGTTTTCAGCTCTTTTTAATATCTTCTTTATTTGCAGTTTAAAGCTTTATAATGGATTTATCTAGATAAACATAAGCTGACATTACATTCTGATTGTTAGCTATAGAGGAATGAGTAGTAAGAGGAAACATTGTAGCTAGAGGAGATTTCCCCTCCCCCCCCAAATGTACAATGAAGCCACTTTCTGCTCAGTGGAAATGGAAGGTAAAGATTTCTTCTCTGGTCTGGGAACTCTAAGATGACTGAATTCCAAAAATTTGGGGCATAACTATCTCACTGAAATAGTAGGGGTGGGGACAAATAGGAGGGGAAGGGACAAAAATGCACCCATGACACCAATTGCCTTGGACTTTAAAAAATAAATATTTTGAGCCAATATTAAGCTTTTTGGTGATACAAAGGAGAGTTTTATATTTGTACTGACACATGTGAATGTATCATCATGATGACTGGAAGAGATTATAGTCTTATCTATTAGCTGCTATTGATGCTGTATGTGTGAGTTTATTGAGGCAGAAAGAAAAAAAATCTGATGAAGAGGTGAATTTAATCCCCATGGCCAAGCCCTCTACAGGGACTTTGATCCTTAGTTTCCTCATTTGTAAAATGAGGGGGTTACCCCGGATGACCACTAAGATCTCTTCCAGTTCTATATCCGTAATCCCTCCCACCTTCTTCAGCAAATTGCTCTCATAATCATCTCCTCTTTCTCTCTGGTTTTCAACCTCTCCCTATCTACTGGTTCCCTCTCCACAGCCTATAGACACCCCGAAGTTTCCCTCATCCTTAAAAAAAAAACCCCACTCAAGTCATCATTGTATATCTTCTTTTTTTTTAGCCAAATTCCTAGAAAAAGTTATCTACATTCATCATCTCCATTTCCTCTCTTCTCAATCCTTCGCAATTTAGCTTCTAACCTCTTTACTCAACTGAATTTGCTTTCTCCAAATTGGCCACTGATCTATCAATTGCAAAATCTCATCCTTCTTGACCTTTCTGCAGAATTGGACACTTTTGACCACCTCTCTTCTTGGACACTCACTCCTCTCCGGGTGTTCCTGACATTGCACTCTCTTGATTCTCCTTCTACCTGTCTGTTCCTTTTAAGTCTCCTTTGCTGAATCATCATCCAGAGCACCCTTCTAAAATGTGGGCATCCCCCAAGTCTCTGTCCTGGATCCTCTTCTCTCTATACTCTTTCTCAGTGACCTCTTTCAGCTCCTCATGAGTTTAATTATTATCATTGCTATTGACTCCCAAATGTATATATCCAGCCCCAGTTTCTTGTCTTGAGCTCCAGTCCTATATCATCACATTCCTATTGGATATTTTGAACTACATATCCCTTAGGCATCTATAACTCAACATGCCCAAAATAACTCATTATCTTTTCTCCCCAAACCATCCGTCTTCTGAGCTTCTCTATTTCTATTGAGTACAGTCAGTCAGCTGATAATCATTTATTAAGTGCCTACTATGTACCAGACACTCTGCTAAGTGCTGGAGATAAAAAAAAAAAGTCCCTATCCTCAAGGAATTCACAATCCAACAGGGAAGAAAACATGCACACAATTATTTACAAACAAAATTGTTGTTGTTCAGTCATTTCAGTCATATCCAACTCTTCATGACCCTATTTGGGCTTAGGATAAGTTGGAGATAATCAACAGAGGGAAGGTACTAGCTTTGAAGGGGAACAGAAAAGGCTGATTTGCAGAAGGTGGGATTTTTTATCTGGGACTTGAGGCACACCAGAAGCAAGGAGGCCACTGTCACTGGGGCACAGAGTACATGGGGGTGTTGTGTGAGAAGACTGGAAAGGGTTGAGTGGGGAGGTAAGATATGAAGGGCTTTAAATGCTAAAGAGAGAATTTTATATTTGATACCGGACATGATAGAAAGCCACTGGAGTTTACTGAGTAGAGGGCTGATGTGTTCAGACAGGTACTTTAGGAAGATTAATTTGATAGCTGAGTGGAAGATGGGCTGGAGTAGAGAGAGACTTGAGTCAGGGAGACCAATAAGTAGGCTAGGTGGGAGGTGATGAGGGCCTGCACCATGGTGGCAGCAGTGTTAGAGGAGAGAAGGGGCCATATATGAGAGATGTTTAGGAAGGTAAAATTGACAGAACTTGGCCACAGATTACAAGTGGAGGCTGAGAGAGAGTGAGGAGTAGAGGATGATGCTTAGGTTTTGAGCCTGGGGACTGGGAGGATGGCGATGTCCTCAACAGTAATAGGGAGATTCTGAAGCTGGGAGGGTTTGGGGAGACAGATCAAGAGTTCAGTTTTGGACACGGTGAGTTTAAGATGTTTACTGGACATTCAGTATTTATGGGAGCTGATGAGATTGCCAAGTGAAATAGTATAGAGGGAGTAGAAAATAGTGCCTAAGACAGAGCCCTAGGGAACACCCACCTTTACTGAGTGTATCCTGGATGAAGATCTAGCAAAGGAGGCTAAGAAGATGCAGTCAGACAGGTAAGAGGAAAACCAGAATAGAGTAATGTCATGGAAACCCAGAGGAAGAAAGCATCAAAGAGAAGACTGATTGATCATGTTAAAGGCTGCAGAGAGGTCAAGATGATAAGGAGTGAAAAAAAGGCCATTACATTCGGCAATGGAGATCATTGGTAACTTTGGAGAGAACAGCTAGCTGAATGATGAGGTCAGCTGTCAGACTGTAGAGAGTTAAGAAGAGAGTGGGAAGAAAGGAAGTGGCAGTACACAGACAGCCATCCTAAGAAGTTTAATCACAAGAGGAGATTTAATTACAAGAGGATGAGAGCTAGTGGGGATAGATGGATCAAGTGAAGGTTTTGGGGCATGGGAGAGACATGTGTATCTTTGTAGACAGTGGGGAATGAGCCAGAAGACAGGGAGAGACTGAAAATAAGTTAAAAGATGGGGATGAGGGGGTACAATCTGCTGGAGAAGATGAGAAGGAATGAGATCACTTGTGCATTTGGAAGGGTTTGCTTTGGCATGTAGAAGGATCGCATCTTCTTGTGAGACAGGGGTGAATGAGCACATAGTGGCAGAACGCATGTGGGTGACATAAGATTAGGAGGGGAGAAGATGGAGCTCTCTGTGAATGGCCTCGGATTTATTCAATAAAATATAAGGTTCTTAGATAGTGAGTGAAGAAAATTAAGTATTCTGGGAAGTGGAAGTAAGGAAGGGGGAAAGGAAGCCATGGGAGGTTCTTTTTTCAGTCGTTTCTGATTTTTCATGGCCCCATTTGGGGTTTTCTTGGCAAAGATCCTGGAGTGGGTTGCCATTTCCTTTCCTCCAGCTCATTTTACAGATGAGGAAACTGAGGCAAATAGGGTTAAGTGACTTGCCCAGGGTCTCAGGCCGTACTTGAACTCACAAAGACAAGTCTTCCTGACTCCAGGCTAGATACTCTATCTATTTTGACACCTGGCTGCCCCAGTAAATTAATTAGGAAGGCATAAAAGGATTGACTTGCCATAGTGACGACCCTGTTGAGTTTAGGTAAAATCAATTTGCAGTGGACCCAGGCCACACGATTTTGTGATTTTCTCCAGTTTTGTTCATTAGCACTTGAGTATCCATCCTACTCACCCAGTTTTGTTACCTCAGGATCAGTCTCAAGTCTTCATTTCTTCCCACTATACATATCAAATCAGTTGCCAAATCTTGTTGCTATGTCCACATTATCTCTCACATCTGCCCCTTTTTCTCTACCCCCATTTTCACCATCACTGTAGTTCAGGTCCCCACCGCCTCTCACCTGCATTACTGAAATAGCCTCCTAATTGTTGTCCCTGCCTCGACTCTCTCATTGCTTCCTCCATATGGCTGCCAAAGTGATTTCCCCGAAGCACAGTCAGGACCGTGTCATTCCTCTACTCAATAAACTCCAGTGGCTCCCCATTACCACTAGGACCTAAATGGAGACTTCTCTGTTTGACGTTTAAGGCCTTTCATAACCTGGCCTGAACCTAATTTTTCCATCTTTTTTGCATAGTACTACCCTTTCACACACACTGCAGTCCTGCCAAACTGGCCTTCTTCTTATTCTTCACATATAACTTGCTTCCTATCAACTCAACAAGCATTTTTTAAGCACCTACTACGTGTCAGGCACTGTGCTAAGCACTAGGGATACAAAGAAGGGCAAAAAGATAGCCCTGCTCTCAAAGAGTGTCCAGTTGAATGTAAACAACGATAATATCCTGTGTCTATTTACACACACATACACACACAAACACACACACACATACACACACACACAAACTATATTCATTCATGCCCCCCAAACTCCAAATTACAAATTCCCTGAGGGCTGAGACTATTTCACTTTTGTCTTTGCACCCCAAATCCTAGTATAGTGCCTGGCACTTAGTAGGAATCTAATAATGCTTGTTGATGTATTGATTGAAGGAAAGAATGAAGGGAAGGAGAAAAATGGAGGAAAGAACAGGAAAGGAAGAGGAAGCACGAATGAATCTGATTACAGATGAGGGAGTTCAGGCTACAGAGATACCCTTTTTTCTCATTCTGATCCCCGGCCTCACCCTCGATCCCCTCTTACCATTGCACAGGAAGCCTGAGGTTCTAGGACACTGGAAATTGTCATACTCGCAGAACTGTCCGTCGTAGCGTCCATCTCCATAGCACACGCAGCGTCCGCACTGGCATTCTCCTCGCCCCGAGCAAACCTTGTCTTCCCCATCCCGCGTGCAAGGCTTCGTGTCACTCTGGGAGCCCGTGGAGCAGTTACAAGCCTTGCCACTCCTGGGAGGGACGGAAAAGATCAACTTTTGGAGGAGCAGTCCCCTTTCTGCTCTCTCCCAGCCCCTACGTCCTTCCTTCCCTTCCTTCCCTCCTTTGTCTGGCACACCTTGGTGTTTCCAGCATTGAGACCTCTTGGAGTCACAGACTCTTTGCCCTTCCCATCTTCTTTTTATCAAGGGCAGGGTGACTCTGACAACCTGGGCCCCCAGTTGTCCCACCCCCTGCCACTCACCAGCCCTCCTTGCACATACAGTGCCCACATGTGAAGTTCCCATTGAAGCTGCATTTGGCTGACAGAGGCTCCTTTTGCTGTAAAAGATTGGGGTGTCACCCTTTTATGAGACTTGGCTGCCTGCCTGCCTTGAATGGCATTTCTCCTGCAGGGACCAAGCCCAGAGCCAAGATGGAAGCAGGCAGTGTCCCTGTCCCCCATGTGAACAGTGGTCACTGAATCCTGCCCCGCCCTCTCTGGCTCTCAGTTCCAAGGGTCATTTTTCTAAATATTATTCTGGTTTAACAATGCTCACTACCTACCAGTTCACAAGGGCACACATCACAGATGATGCTGGCATCAATTCTGAGCCCATCGGAGAAAGAGGGCTTTAGATGGATTTCGCCTGCCTGATCCTCAAGAGGTAGCTGGCACACATGCCGCCCGTCCACTTGCTCTGCAGCCCGCAGTTGCACGTGATAAGTTCCCTGTAATAACAGAGCTCCATCAGCCAAGGTCTCCTTCCCCCAGAGGTCATTGAGTGCAGGTACACGTGGACTGTTTGGGCTTTTTCTAGAGAAAAGGGAGCCCCCTGGATTCTCTTATTCTGGCCCCTTAGAGATATTCTATTCTGCCTAAACCCTACAGCTCATGGTTCTCTGAAGTTGGGTTGGGGGAAAGGACCACTTGATCTATCCTCAATCCTGGAAAATAACTCAATTCCATTCAGGAAAGAAACCCATTCCTTATCAGGGCCTTAATCTATAATAAATCCCTGCCCTAACCCTGTGCCCAGTAGGTCTCTCACACACCAGCCCCAATGGAAACATACCACTTCCCCACGCTTGATTTGGAAAGATCCAGTTTTTGTCTTCACGTATCTTTTGGAGGTGACTTCCGTCCGCAGGCCCCTGGGGGCATTCAGAGCTCTGATATGCAAGTTGGACCTGATACGCTGATGAGGAGATACAGGGAACCATAGAATTAGGAAGGAACAACCCTTATCTTACCCTCTCTACGTAAGTCTTTATTGATAAAGAATGTCTGACTCTTTACCCTACCTATTTTTTTTTCTCCAAAAGATAGACTCTGGCAGCCTCGGCCCCCAGTTGTCTCACTCCCTGGCACTCACCAGCTCTCCTCACACACACAATGCTCGCACATTTACCTTTATCAATAAGTATTCCTAATCACCCAAATGAAAACAGTAGACTCCAATGCTGATCAGAGATGATATACCCACTGGAGCCTACATGGTACCTTTGGTAGGTACCAAGCCTCCCTCAAGGCAAGAGAGATGGGAGGGTAGGAGGTGGTGGGAGTGGCTTTCTTTGAAGACTATCGTACCTCTGGGTCCCAGACTTCATATCATTAGACTGAAGGTTGTGTGAGCAAGGCTAGTCCTAGGGAGGGGTGTTAGCTGAGAGCCAGCCCTTCAGAGACAGAGGATCAGCTCAGCACAGAGACTTTTTCTAGGGAGAAGTAGCTAGGAATGAGAACGAGGGTGAAATTTGTGTCCCTACCCTCAACCCCAATCTTTGACTCTGACTCTGAGTCCCTGGTCCTCTCCAACCATGTCCCATGTGGCCCTCCTCTCAGCCTCAGGTCTCCCTCTCAGGTCCCAAAGTCCCAAGTTAACCCCAAACCCCTCCCTTACATAAAAGGCCTCTTCAAGTAGTTCCACTATATTGGCGGAGTCTTCATGCAGCAAGCCCAGAGAGGAGACTGGGAAATAGGTATGCAGCTTCTGTTTTAAAAAAAAAAGAGAAAAATGAGAAAAAGATGTTGAAGAAGATGAAGAAGACGTAGAATAATAGTCTCTGCTTATTGAAAGGAACCTTAGTGGTTACTCAGTCCAACTCATTGAAAAAGATCTGGGAGTCTTAGTTGATCACAAGCTTAATATTAGTTTTGTTTTGTTTTTTAAATTGGGAACTCAGGGAGAAGAGATATATGGTATCTCTAATGAGGGAGAAGCCCAAAACAGTCCCTGAAGGTTTTGGGGATGGTTCTGCTCTCAGGACTCCTACACGTGTGTGCACAAGCACATGCATGCACACACACACCACACATACCACACACACCCACACACACCCACACACACACATACATACCTCGTAGTAGCTGAAGGAATGGTTGGTGACAGCAAAGATGGGGATGATGTTGTGCTGGGCAAGCAGGCGCACCAGGGTGGGAACTGATGGGTAGTCCTGCTGATTGTACTGGATGTAGGTGCCTGTGGAGTCCAGGTAGCAATCTTCACTGTTACGCTTCATGATGCCTGCCAGCACGTTGGCACCGTCTGCCTCATAATGGAAGGCCGACTCTGTGGAGAACACCAGCAGGTGGGTGCTGTCTTTCCGCCAGCCAATGTCCTTCTGGGGAGGGTAAAGACAAGCATACCTATTTAAAGGTGCCTTCTTCAGCCTTCCAGAACAGTCCTGAAGCAAGCCCTGCTTGCTCGCTGCCACGTGGATGAATGAATGTCCCTGCATCTCCCAGATAGTAGGAAACATCCATCTCTTATTTAGCTTGAACTCTTTATGATACCAATGTTAGGGGACAGGGAAGCCCATATAGCTAGCCAGTTAGGTGGATGGTATAGAGCCTGGCATCGGGAAGTCCTGAGTTCAAATTCAGCCTCAGACACTTACTAGCTGTATAACCCAGGGCAAGCTACTTAACTGCTGATTCAGTTTCCTCATCTGTAAAGTGGGAATAATAATAACACCTACCTCTCAGGGTTGATGTGAGGACTAAATGAGATAATATATTGCTTCAAGTTTTGCCCATCTTTAAAATCAGGATACTACTGGCTACCTTACAGAGTTGTTGTGGGAGTTAAATAATTTAATGCACTTATTATCCCCATTCTACATCTGGGGAAACTGAGGCTAAGAGAGGTTAAGTAATTTAACACTCAGGGTCATACAGCTAATAAGAGTCTGAATAGGTGAGTGGTGCAGAGCCTGGAGTCAGGAAGGCCTGAGCTCAAATTCAGCCTCAGATATTTACTAGCTGTGTGACCCAGGGCAAGTCACTTAACCTCTGTCTGACTCAGTTTCCTTGACTGTAAAGTAGGAGTAATAATATAACCTATCTTTCAGAGATGATGTGAGGATTAAATAAGAAAATAATTATAAAGACCTTAGCACAGTACCTAGAACACAGCAGGCATTTAATAAGTGCTTAGTTCCTTCTTTCCTGAGGCAAGATTCAAACCTAAGAGCCGGTGCTCTTTCCACTGGGCTATCTCGTCAGTTTAACTAACAGTTTTTCAAACTGTCCAGTTCAGTACAAAGGTGATGTAGTTTGACTGTAGACCAAGTTGGGTACTGCCTGAGACCATCCCCTTGCCCATCACCCCCAGAGACCTTCCTATCAGAACAGAAATTCTTCACTTTTTTTGTGTTACGGACTCCTCTGGCATTCTGGTGTTGCCTATGAACCCCTTCTTGGAATAATGTTTTTAAATGCATAAAATAAAACATATAGGATTATAAAGGAAGCCAATTCTATTAAAATACAAGTTATCAAAAAACAAGTTATCAACATATTACAAGTTTCTGATGCAATGCTAATGTGCTGTAAGAAATGACAAGCATGTTGAGTTTAGAAAAACATGGAAAGACTTGCATGAAATAATGCAGAGTGAAATGGGCAGAACCAAGAGAACGTTGGAGACAGTAACAGCAATATTATTCAAAGAATAACTGTGAATGGCTAAGCTATGAACATTCAAATCCACCATGAAAGTCTTATGACAGAAAATGCTATACACCTCCAGAGAAAGAACTGATATATGGAAGTATGTATTGTATGGTTTCACATATTTATTTATATCAAATGTTGGCCTTCTCCAATTCGGGGTTGGGAGGGAAGGAGGGGGACAACTTGAAATTTAAAATGCAACAAAAAATAAGTAAAACAAATATAAGATAAATTTTAAAAAATATAATAAGTTCCAAGTTCACAGACCCTCTTGAAATCTATCTGTGTATCCCAGGCCTTAGAGACGTCCCCACCATCTACACAGTGATGCTCTGTGTTTTCCTTCTTCCCAAAGAGGCCCAGAGACTAAGAGGCCTCTCAATCACTCAGACTAACGTGCAGAAAAAGAAACCCCCTGACCCCCTAGCAGAGAGGGGGATGGGATAGGCACGCACAGTCTGGCAGCTCCCACGCTGGGCTTACCGTGCACACAGCTGTCTGCAGGATGGCATCAAAGCCACCCTCAGGTGCATCGAGGTTGCCTGAGATTCGTTCCCGCTGTAGTTTGTTCCGGAACTCTTCCAAATCTTTTGTCAGGCTGATCACATTCTTGAAGGAGAACGGTGGGTCGCTGTTGGGCCAGGGCTCCTTCAGCCTTGGGGTGGGGAGGACAGAGACATCAGGTGGGAGAGAGTACCAGACCTCTACATCTCCTCCCTGCTCAGTAAAGGAACCCCTCCCTTGACTCCCAATACCATTCTTTATTTCTTTTATTTCTTTATTTCTTGCTCCAGGGGGTGCATGGAAATTGGAGGGCAGAATATCATGTTTCCATGCCCCTTCCTCACAGTCAGTGGGGCCCCATTCAACCTGGTCTCTATTATGAGGCAACTGAGGCTTTGTCTCAAGGTGCCAACATGATAATGCCTTTTCCTCTAAGGGTACTGATACAGGGTGGGATATGTTTTATCCTTCTATGCTGGGCAGGTGGAGGACCTCCAGGACTGCCTAAAGGGAAGCACTGCCTTCCTCTACCCCACCGCTGGCACCTTGAGGGAAGGAACTCTCCTTTCACCCTCTCCTTTGACTAGCCCTGGGCTGCCACCCCACAAGCATCCTATCAATGGCTAATTCCTTTCTAGCCGAGCCCATGTTGATGCACCTCTGTGACTGATCTGACTGGGTGGGGAAGGGGTGGGGTGGGTCTGCCCATGTACCACTTGCCCAGGGACCTGGGCCACCTCATATTCCAGGGATCATTGGTGGGATCAGCAATAGCGGTGAATAGTTCCTCCCTCAGTCTTGACTGAACTTGTACCAAGTGGTAGAATCCTCAGGGTAGGCTCACTTACTTGGCTGGCCTCATGTCTGTCTGTGGGACGCTGACTTTATCCACAAACTTGCCGAAGCCAATAGTGTAGTCACTCGTGAGCTGGCTCAAGACCCCGGCTGGAGATATAGGACATTGAGGAGGGGACAGGGAAGTCCCTTGGATAAAACCCCACCTCCCCCTCTCCAACAGGACCATGGGCCAAGGCTAAAGAACTAGGATCCTGCAAACCCCTACCCTAGGCACCAAGGATACTTCAGGGACCTACTCAAGGAGGAGACTGTCTCTAATGGCAATTCCTTGACCCCCTTGAGCGAGAAGAGTGGGGAGAGCTCAGTAGCCCCAGGGAACACGTGCCTATGCATGGTCTGTATTTCCATAGCTGGGAAAGGAAACACCTGAACACATTGCCAGTGGCCTGGTTTCCTGGGGATGGGCCTGGCCTTAGCGGTGACGCCTATCCTGCCCTTGCTTCAGATGCCCTGACATACCCAAGTTTTGGCCCATCTGCTTGAGGTTAGCCAGATCGTCGGACATGGAGTAGGAGAAGTCCATGAGAATATACAGGTCCACCGGGCTCTCAAGGGGCTCAAACACCTGAAACTCAAAACTTTGCTCCTCCCCGGGCCTCAGGCGCAACTGCATGGCTTGGGGCGACACCTGGCTCTTCTTCAGGGTGGTGTCGATCTCAGTAGACTGCCAAGGAGAACATGTATAGACGTATGTGTATATATGTGTACAGATGTATAATGTATATGTGCATACACGTACACACACACACACACATATAGACACACTGGGTATGTGTGCCAAAACAAGAGGGAGACACATGCCTTGAGCATCTCTCCCTGGTACCCTGGCTCCTGCGTTCCAGCAGGCATCACTCACTCTCACCTTGGCCCAGCTTCCTTCTCTGGACCCAGCTCAAAGTGACCCCCTCCTTTCTCAGGGATGAACAATCTCCCCTTCATCCCCTCCATGGCCCCTGTGGAAAGCTGACCAGGGGCCTCTGTAAAACTATAGAATGGCACAGTTATAGACAAGGAAACTGAGGCCCAGCAAGATGACGTATCTTGCCCTTGACCAAGGTCACGTCGGCAGTGAAGGGCAGAGCTGGGCTCAAAGCTAGGTCCCTTGACTCCAGTTCCAGGGTTCTTTTCTAATCCATTTTACAGATAGAGAAACTTGGACCCAGAGAAGCGAAATGACTTGCCCGTGGTCATCTGACCAATTAGTAACACAGCATGGGACTAGGCCTAAAGTCTCCTTACTCCCTAGGCCAGTGCTTCTTCCACCAGACTAGGTTTGTTCATCATCTCAAATAAGTCTTATGTAAAAAATAACCTTTGAGCATCCCCTGGGAAAAAAGGCAGGTGCTATTATTATTACTTCCGTTTTACATATGGGGAAACTGAAGTCAAGAGGTGAAATGGCTTGTCACAACAGGTAGGAAATATTGAAGGCAGCATTTGAATTCGGGTCTTTAGACTTTGTCTGGCATTCTTACCCACTGTGCCACCTAGTTGCCTCTGAGGATATGACTCCTTATTTCTAGCACATGACCTCACTTTTTTTTTTTTAAGGCAATTGGGGTTAAGTGACTGCCCAGGGTCACATAGCTAGTAAGTGTCAAGTATTTGGTCTGAGGCCGGATTTGAACTCAGGTACTCCTGACTGCAGGGCTGGTGCTCTATCCACTGTGCCACCTAGCTGCCCCCTATGACCTCACTTTTAACAACCACGCTGACCCCTCATCCCTGGCTCTCACCTCTGTGATCCGGAAGCTGCTTTCCTTGAACACCACACTTGCGGCCTCACAGCCCATGGCCAGTAGCTCCTCTCTAGTGTTACAGCGACGATCCTTGAACGTCTACCCAGTAGAAGAATGGAAAAGGGGATAGGATAGTTCTCAGTGGCTCTTGCACCCTCCTCTGTTTCTCCATCCATGCACTCGGTCTTGGCTTTCAGTTGATAACCTCCCCTAAGAGCTGTAACTAGGCCCAGACAACCAGGGCTTTGTACCTGGGCACCTGACACTGGAGTGAGGGGAGTATATCTCATACTTCAATCTTTTGTCAACCCTGGGCCCAGAGCCCTCACATTTGAAGCATGATTATCTTTACTCTTCCAGCCCTAGGCTGCTAGATCCTCTTCTGGAACATACACTACTGCATCTCTTTCTCTTCTAGTGCCTGACACCCAGGGCTGAGGGAAATGACTACTCCAGTACCTTCCTCCACTATCTTACCTCACCTGTTATTTCCTAACCTCAGCCATCTCCTAGCAGTTGGAGAGGTGGGGACCAGGTAGGGTGGACAGTCCTCTCTGGCCCGGGTACAACTCCACCTGACTGGAGAGGGTTGAACTCTGTACCTGAACCACAATGAAGGTGAAGCCTGGCTTAATGAAAGCTCTTGAGGCCTTCTTGTACTGTAGGTGAGCACCCTCCCTGGCCTGGCCCACCCTATACCCTCTCCTGGGGGCATGCTCCCCAGCAGTGGCATTGGGGTGTCTCAGGGTCTCTATCTCCTCTCAAGGGTGGCATCCACCTCTCACTGGACCTTGTTTGCTTAGGAGATCTCTCTAGTCTTTACTATTTTTTCTCTGCTTGCCTCAGGTGCCAGAAATGCTAATTATGGCTCTTCCCACTCATTCCTTTTATACAATATAATGCATGCATATAGTTTTTCCCTTTCCTGGATTCCATCCTGGGCACCAGAGTCTTGCAGAGGACGTGGTAAGTGTGGATCTGGCCACACGCTTGTAGGAAGGAATGTGGGGGGAAGCTGGAGTCTCACAAGTTTGAGAGTGGGAAGGCATACCATGCTGGGAAGGCCCTGATGGGCAGGGACATGGCAGGGGTCCTCACCTCATCAGTGCAGTAAGCACAGTCCTTATCTATACGGATGCACTCGGTACAGCTCTTCACCAGGGCCTTCTTGCAGCGATTAGCTAGATGGGGAGCAGGAGTCAAAGACAGGGTTGGGGTCAGAGCTGGAGAGGCCCCTGGGTCAAACAGTCTTTCCCAGGGAAGAAGGCACTAGCTGGGTGGCTCAGGGTGTCTTTTTTTTTTTTTTTTTAAGGCAATTGGGGTTAAGTGACTTGCCCAGGGTCACACAGCTAGGAAGTGTTAAGTGTCTGGTCTGAGGCCGGATTTGAACTCAGGTCCTCCTGACCTCAAGCCCAGTGCTCTATTCACTGTGCCACCTAGCTGCACCTAAATTTTTTTTTTTTAAGCCAGGAATGGGGTTAAGTGACTTGCCCAGAGTCACACAGCTAGTGAGTGTTACCCGGATTTGAACTCAGGTCCTCCTGAATCCAGGGTCAGTGCTCTATCCACTGTGCCACCTAGCTTGGCTCAGGCTATTTTAAGCTTCACTGTAGGTGTTTGCCTGTATGTTAGTTTCCTGGTCATGTAATGCAGCCTCTAGCTGACCATGAGGTGCTTGGAGATACTTGGGAAGGGACTAATTATTGTTCAAATGATCTACTCCTTCTCCCTCTTCTGAACTCCTGTAGCACTTTGCTGATTCCTCTCTTTTGGCACTTATCACATTCCCCCCTCTCTTATCTTTATTTGTATACCTATCTTCTACTTTAGACTTTAAACTTCCTGAGGGGAGGGACTTTGTCTTATTCATCTTTGTACTTCCACTGTGCCTAACTGTATATGGGAGGTGCTCAATAAATGTCTGTTGGATGGATGGAAGAATGAATGAATGAAAAGTGGTAGACAGAATGTGATGGTGGGCCATATGGTCAGGGCACCGAGTGACCCCAGAAATGCTTAAGGGGAAGGGGTCCAACCTGGGTCCTCTGGGGTCTATCAGGGAAAGGTCCTTTGACTTACCCATGTTCCCTTGGAAGCTGATGCATAGCACTGCCCAGAACAGCAGACCAGCCCATGACCCTGGCCAGGGCATCCTCTTCCTCCTGAAACAAGCAGAGGGTTCATTCTGTATGCCTGTGTCATGAGCACCACATGGTGCAGGATGAAGAATGGTGTCACTCCTTGAGATTTTCTGATGATGCCCCTCCTCTCAGAGACTCCTTCCTGCCAGGTCATAGACTTGTAGAACTGTTATCTCCCACACCCGGCTGTGTTCTTCCTGTTGTGACCTTGATCCTCCCTTAGCTTTGACTGAATCACAGCTTGGCCTGGGACAGAGTGAGTGGGAGCTGGGATATCTCAGGTACAGGTACCAATCTAATTGGTGGCACAGGCTCCATCTTACCCAGTTGTCCCCTAGGCTTGGGCTATGTGAATGGCAGTGCCAGGAAGGTTTTGCTCAAGGGCTTCCTAATGGGATACAGGGGTCAGGGTGGGGAGGCAAAGAAGAGAGGGTCAGTCATTGGGCACTGTCATGCACTGGTCATGGTTGGCCTAGCCCAATAGGGTGAAATCTAGCATTTCCTTTATGCCTTTATGTCAGCCCTTAAGTGGAGAGAGGAAGCCTGAGAAGACGTGGAGAGAGAGAGGGAGAGAGACAGAGACAGAGACTGACAGAGATAGAAACAGAGAGAGACAGATACAGAGACAGAGAGACAGAAGAAGAGAAACAAAGACAGAGAGAGCCAGAGCCAGAGAGACAGAGGTAGAGACAGAGACAAGGACACATAGAGAGATGGAGAGACAGAGAGAGACAGAGACAGAGAGACAGAAACAGAAAGACAGAGAAACAGATACAGAGACAGAAATAGAGATGGAGAGAGACAGAGAGAGATAGACACAGAAAGAAAGAAAGAGAGAGAGAGAGAGAGAGAGAGAGAGAAATGGAGAGAGACAGAGAGATGGAGAGAGACAGAGAGACAGAGACAGAGAGGAGCATGTCCTTCCCTACTCCAGTGGGAACATCAGCTCTTTGAACATCATTGGCCACTGAACACTGGTCATCCTCATTTTAGGTTAGCCTCTTGTGGTAACTCACTTTTCCACCTTGAAGATATACCTTAAGACATCCAGGGAACCAGTTTTCTATTTATTTATTTAAAAAACTGTAGGAGATTCTTTGTAGAAGTGAGGGATTGTGAGTAAGGAACAACACTACATATACATTTAGAGTCAACTGATGTTGATTTTACTAATCTGCTTCCCCTTCCTTTCCTTTTTATTCTTTGTTATGAGTAATGGCTTGATGGGGACGGGTGGGAGGAGAGACATGTTTGGAAATAAAGTTGGTGGAAAAACAAAAGACATCAATGAAAATTGAAAAAAACTTTTGAAAAAAGAAAAAAAATGGGAGAAGCCAATCAGGGAAGCCCTAGGATGGTGGGGGTGGGTGGGGAAGAAGGGGTGTCTTTGAGATCATTTTACAATCTGAAGAGAACTGGGCATGAGTCACCTAGGCCAGTAGAGCTGAAAAAAATAGGGGCAGCTAGTTGGCACAGTGAATAGAGAATGAGCCCTGGAATGACGAGGACCTGAGTTCAAATCTGACCTCAGACACTTCACACTTACTAGCTGTGTGACCCTAGGAAGTCATTTAACTCCAAAAAAACCCTAAAAAAAAAAAGAAATTAAAAAATCAGAGAACCCTACCACATTTTCCTAGAAGCCATCTTCACATCTAGAATATATGATCTTGTGAACCCAAATCACTCTTTCCATCTCTTTCTTGAGGACGGGTCTCCAAGTAAAGTCAGATTATAGTATCTACCGTGTCCAAGTATAACAAGCATGGAATGAATCGGGCTTGGTACCCAAGATGCCAAGACGGGGTGGGGCATCGCCCCTATTGCCACACTGATTGTCCTTTCCACCACTGGACAGTGGGCTTTGCTGTTGTAAACTCATCTCCCTCCAGTGCCAGCCCTGAGTGAAAGAATCCCTAGTTACAGCTCTAGTCTGTGGGGTGGATCTCCTGCAGTTAAAGGACTTAGGACTGCAAGGGAACTGAAAGATTTTCTGATCCGACCTTTTCATAATAATAACAGAAGCAACTTATATTGCCCTTTCAAGTTAGGAAAGTGCTTTAAATTGTTATTGAGTCATTTTTTAGTCATGTCCGACTTTCTGTGATCCCATTTGGGGTTTTCTTGGCAAAGATACTGAAGTGGTTTGTTTGCCATTTCCTTTTCAGCTCATTTTACAGATGAGGAAACTGAGGTAAACAGGGTGAAAGTGACTTGCCCAGGGTCACACAGCTAGTAAGTGTCTGAGGCTAGATTTAATCTCACAAAGATAGATTTTCTTGACCCCAGGTCTGGCACTCTATCCATTGTTCCCAGTACTTTAAAAAGATTATCCCATTTCAGAAAGAAAGGGACTGAGTCTCAGAGAGATGAAGCGACTTACTTGCCCAAAGCAGCAGAGTAAAGATGCTTCTTAATTCAGTGGGAGAACTCCCTTGGGAGAGCTCAGCTGTTAGGGGCCAGTGTGAGAGGTGTGTGACTGAAGGTTCAGGAAAGAAGGGCTCAGCCTCTTGTCAGACTAGTGCTTGGGTCTAATGGGAGTGGTCCCTTCAACTCGTGCCAGTCCTGGGGTTCCAAAGGTCATGGAGGCTGCAATGATTATATTAATATTCTATCCAGTCCAGAGGTAGAGGGAGCTCCATGGGGCCAGAGACCAGGAAAGAGGAAAAAACCCTTGCCTAAGGGTAAGAAAGGAGCAAATAACCGTAGGATGGGTAATGCCTGAGCCAGTCTGGGTGTGGACTGTGGGGTGAAATGGCTTCCTAGAAGCCATGGGGTTTGTAAAATGCCGCACCCATACCCACCCTTACTTACAATGAAGTAAGGCAGACGCACACCTATGGGCGGTATTATACAAGGATCCCAGGACATCCTAGTTGGAAGGGACCTTAGAGCACTTCCAAGATGATAACGACCAACATTGATACGGTACTTTAAAGTGAACAAAGAGTTTTATATTTTGTGTAACCTTTTTATTTTGTAGATAGACTATTTTGCCCAAGGTCACCCAGCTAGTCAGTCCCAGGGACAGGATTTCCGATGCCAAGGCCAGAGTTTTTTCCAGTGTACCACAAATCTTCACAATAACCCCTTAAAAGTCGACTGCCCTTTACAATCTACAGAGCTCTTTCATGGGAATTATCTCATTTGACCCTCATAACAAACTCTGTGAGGTAGAGCCAGGCTGGTCTTATTAAAGACCCATTTTCCAGAGGCAACCCTTGTGTCAGAGTTTTTTTTTTCTTTTTTTTCTTTTTTCTGATATGAAGGAGCCAGGCATATTTTGTTGTTCAGTTTTTTCCCAGTCGTGTCTGACTCTTCATGACCCCATCTGGGGTTTTCTTGGCAAAGATACTGCGGTGGTTTGCCATTTTCTCTTCCAGCTCATTTTACAGATGAGGAAACTGAGGCAAACAGGGTTAAGTGACTTGCCCAGGGTCACACAGCTAGTAAGTATCTAATGCCACATTTAAACTCAGGTCTTCCTGACTCCAGGCCCACTGCTCTATCTACTGTGCCATGTAGCTATATTTCAGGGGGCTTTAAATGTGCTCCTACCCAGGCAGAATGTGGGCAATAAAATTTAGGTTATTATTTTAGGTAATTACCTTCCTGAGATGGACAGCCTAGATGAGAACAGTGGTCCCCTGACTGCTACTTCTCACTGTCACACATAATGAACATTTGAACACACACATATGTGACCTACAAACTTGTGCCCGTAGACAGACATACTTCCTTCAGAGAACACATGTGCTGGCTCTGTATGTATAGGTGCTGCGGGCTGAAGTCCCTGAGGTTAGGAAGGGTACTTAGAGGTAGGCCTCTTGAAGATAACATCTACTCCTACTCTCATTCCCTCTACCCCTCCCCATGAAGAGCTGTCCTGCGGTGCTCTGCCTGAGGGAGGCTGCCTCTTAGTTGAGCCTGGAAGGATTGGTTGGGTCTCCGTCTCAGACCCCAAGTATTGCTACCAAAGCTACAGTCTAATTCTGCCTCTGAAACTCTGTGGCTGTGGTGCTCTTAGCCACATATGCTCAGGAAACAGAGTTTAACAACAAAAAAATGACTAAGCCTGGACCTCCAGATCCCTCTGTTCCCGCATCCCAGCTTCATTCCAGGCTATCCTGTGTTCATAGTTAGGAATTTCCTCATGTCAATCTAACTCCTCTCTCTGTACTACCCCCTAGATTCCTTAAGGATACCCAGTCATCACTGTCCTGCCTGGAAGAATAACAACAGTCAGACAGAGCAGAAATGGAGCTGGAGGAGAAGAAACAGTCCTTTACGGTCCCCCTTCCCCCACCCCTGGGACTGTTGTGAGGCTCAAAGCTTTGTGGATAAAGGACAGAGACCCAGATGCAGCAACATAACCCACCAGGGCATCTTCTTCATTGTGGAAGGGCCTTTGGGGAAAGGGGAAGCTTCCTGGAACAGTGGTGGTGGGTGGTGCTATAGTAATGATCAGAGGGACCAGAGGTAGAGCATGGGCAGGGTGGGGGCATTAATCTTGGAAAACTTCTTCAAGTAGGTAAATCTGGAGCAGATTTTGAAAGAAGGGGAGGTATGAGGTTTGGCAAAGGGGAAAAAAGGATCAGGGGACATATACTGACTGAAGGTCAGAGTAGGAGCACCCCTCCAACCATCGGCACCCCTTGGGCTTCTCCCACGTAGGGCCAATTGAGCATTCCTCAATGCTTTCCTTCCAAAATGAGTCAACTACACCTCTCCCTTCCCTCTCACCCCTGGTTAGAGTGCTAGATCTGGAATCAGAAGACTTGGGTTCAAATCCCACTTTTGACACTTATTAGCTGTGTGCCAGTAGTTAATTTCTCTGAGCCTCAGTTTCCTTATCTGTAAAATGGAACTAATAATGCCCAGAGGACCTCCTACCTCACAGGGCTGTTGTAAGGCTCACAGTTCCGTGGGAGAAGCACTTGGCAAACTTTAACGCCTAGAGAAGTTCAGTTGTTATTCTCTCTGGTGGAGCCAAGGCTTAGGGGCCATGCTTCTTCCTCCTTGTTCCCTCCCCACCACCTCCCGTTTGAGCTCACAGCCCCCTGGAATGCCCAGATCAGCTTAATTCCAGAAGCCCTCCACTGCTCCCCTATTACTTCCTGGGGAAAGCCATTATTCCACTGGCAGGACTGGCCATAAGGTGCCAGAGCCACTGAGTACAGGGCGTTGGCAAATGCCAACCTTTCAGGAAGGGGATGAGAGGGAACAAAAGACCCTGTCAGATATCTCCCAGCCCCCACCAGAGTGTAAAAGCGTTTGGGGAGCAGCTTCACACTGCTCTGGGGGGTGATGGTGGGCGGCTAATTAAATCCACCCACCCACCTTGCACGCATTCCTGCACTCCTAGGCAAAGTTCCTGCAGGAACTTTTCTGGAGGCAGCCGCGGCCAAGCCCTGTGGCCCCCAGCCTCCCTCTTCCCACCCCAGCCTCCTTTCCCCCTCCCCTGCCCCAGTGCCCAGCCCCTAGGAGAAGTGGGGCAGCAGTTGGCAGACTTGACATACCTTTGCTGGGGTCTCCTCCTTTCTGCTTCTGATTGTCTTTCCCCCTCCTCCCTGGCTATTGGGAGCTGCTCTCCTGTGTGTGAGTATATGTATGTGTGAGTGTGTGTGTGCGTGTGTGTTAAAGAGAGAGAGCGCACGACACTGTCAGAGAGGGAAGGAGGGAGGGAGGAAAGAAAGGAGGAAGGGAACAGAGAGACATTGGGGTGGGCAGAGAAGAGGCAGCTTTATCCGGCTCAGGTAGGAGGGCGCTGGTGAGTCACTCAGCACGCATTCCTGTGCGATGCACACCTGTTCAGGCAAGAGCCGAGCTCCGCCGTCTCCTCTAGGCTGCACCCCCCCGCCCCTCCAGGAAAAGGGCTGGTGTTGCAGCAGGGCATCACCCCGCCCCGTGGGCACTGGGACGTAGCAGGCGGGGTGGGGGGAGGTGGGAGCAGGACTGATCGAAGGGGCGGGGGAGTGGAAACAGCTCCCAGTCCCTGCTCCGTACTGAGTGGGGAGGTGAAGGATGGGGAGGAAGAGAGAAGGTTTTGTTTTCAGAACAGAAGAGGAGGAGTCAGCCTTCCCTCTCCCACCCTTTCCACCAGCTTGGGGGACTCACTCAGCAGAGGCTTCCCCGTTGAACTCCTGGGCTCCTGAGCTCAGGTGCCTGGGCTGCTCCGACTTGCTGCCAACTTCTGAAAAGCTCATTTGCTAACCACTGTCCCCTCTGGCTCCTCCTCACTGTCCTCGGAGCTTTTCTTCCAGACTTCCAAGGCTGGTGCCTGGGGATAATTAAACGTCTCCTAAGACTGTTCTGCAATAGTCCCCACCTCTCAGCTCTGAATTATCATTAAAAGGTGACCCAAATGTGCAGGTCCCACTTTCTGTTGGAGGGGGATGCTGACAACTGTGCCCCTTTCCCCATCTTGCTAGTCTGGTAAGGGAATTTGGATTTACCAAGTCTGGGACAAAGTCGGGGAGTTTGGGCTCTTCCATGGGGACTTGGTGCAGTGCGGAGAGAACATAGGTGGCGCAATGGATAGAACACCGGCCCTGGACTCAGGAGGACCTGAGTTTAAATCCGACCTCAGACACATAACACTTGCTAGCTGTGTGACTCTGGGCAAGTCACTTAACCCCATTGCCTAGCCAAAAAAAAAAAAAAAAAGAGAGAGAGAGAGAGAATATTGGAGTAAGAAAGTAGAAGACCTTTCCCATGAAGCCGCTATCCAGGTCATAATCTCTGAGCCTCAGTCCCTTCATTTATAAAATGGGGACAATACCTCCTCTGCCTACCTCATAGAGCTCTCTGGTGTGGGGATCAAATGAAATGATGTATGCCTGGGCTGCTGCAACTTGGAGCCATGATACTTATTTAGCCTCTTACCACTCCCCTCCGCAGATACTATGAGCCAAACAAGCTGGATTGTTCACTGTCCCTTGCAAATATCTTGTGATGTCTTGCCTCCATGCCTTTGCTAATGCTATTTCCTGTGCATGCAATACCCTGCCCATTGAATTTCTACCTGTTCCTCAAAAACCAATTCGAATGCCACCCTTCCAAGGAGTTTTCCAGGTCCCTCTGCTTGTTGGTGTTGGCGTTTTCTCCCTTGAACCTTACATGTTATATTGCACCTGTCTTATGTACTTAAATAACATTTTGTTTCATAGTTTTCTGTGTGTATGTCATCTCCTACTGTATTGTAAGTTCTGGGAGGGCAGAGACTGTGCTTTCACTAAAAGATGCATCTCTTCCAGTGCCTGGCACAGTACTCTGCATAGCGTTCTGTTGTTCAGTCCTTTCAGTCCTGTCCGACTCTTCGTGACGCCATGTAGGGTTTTCTTGGCAAAGATACTGGAGTGGTTTGCCATTTTCTTCTCCAGCTCATTTTACAGATGAGGAAACTGAGGCCAAAGGGGTTAAGTGACTCACCCAGGGTCACACAGTTAGTTAGTAAGTGTCTGAAGTGGGATTTGAACTCGACGATGAGTCTTCCTGAATCCAAATCTATCCACTGTGCCACCTAGCCGTCCTTCTCTATAGCACAGGAGTTTAATAATTACTTACACTGAATTATGTGAAAGCACTTTGAAGAAGTTAAGTCACTGTATAAATGTGAAGCAAGGTATATTCCCCATATCTGCAATGCACTCCTTCCTCACCTCTACCTCAAAGAATCCCTTACTTCCTTCATTCTTTTTTTTTTTATTATTTTTACGCAATTGGGGTTGAGTGACTTGCCCAGGGTCACAAAGCTAGTAAGTGTTAAGTGTTTGGTCCGAGGCCGAATTTGAACTCAGGTCCTCCTGACTTCAGGGCCGGTGCTCTATCCACTGTGCCACCTAGCTGCCTGCCCCCCTTACTTCCATCAAAGCTTAGCTCAGAAGACACCCCCTGCACGAGGCTTTGTCTTAATACCCCCTCTTATTTGGTCTCTTCCCCTACCACCAAAATTACTTTGTGGAGCAGAGCACTGGACCTAGAAGACTCCCCAGGGCAAACCTAGCCTCCCATACTTGCTAGCTGTGTGACCCTGAGCATTTCATTTAACCTGTTTGCCTCAGTTTCCTCATCTGTAAAATGAAGATAATAATAGCACCTACCTCTCAGGGTTGTTGTGAGGATCCAACAAGGGGACTGTAAAGTGCAAGGGGTCTTTATATTTGATTCAAAAGGTAATAGAGAGCCACTGCAGTTCATAGAGTAGGGGTGACACAATCAGACCTGCACTTTAACAAAATCCCTGTGGCAGTTGAGTGGAGGATGGATTGGAAGGGGTAGAGACTGCAGGCACAGGGAGACCATTTAGAAGGTATTGCAATATTCTAGGTGGAAGGCAGTAAGAGCTGTTACCGGGGCCATGGCTATGTGAGTGGAGAAAAGAGGATGTATATGAGAATTGTTGTGAATGTAAAAATGACAAGATTAGACAACTGATTGGCTATGTGGGGTTACTGAGAATGAGGAATAGTTGGTAGATTAGTAGTGCCTTCAACTGTAATAGGAAAGTTGGGAAGAATTTTTGATAATGTTGGATTTGAGATGAATACAAGAAGTCAAGTTTGAAATGTTCGATAGGCAGTTTGAGATGTGGGATTGGAGCTCAGAAGAGAGAATAAGGTATATATAGATTTGGAAAACATTTTCAGGTAATTGATTATTGAACCCAAAAGAGATGGTATGCACTACCAACTAGGTGGTACAGTGGATAAAGCTCTGTGCCTGGAGGCAGGAAGAGCAGAATTCAAATCTAGCCTCAGATACATACTTAACTTCTCTCAGTCTCAGTTTCCTCAACTGTAAAATGGGGATAATAAAAGCACCTACCTCACAGGATCATCGTGATGACCAAAACAAGATATTTGTAATATCTCAATGCCTGGCACATAATAGGTGCCTAATAAATGCTCATTCCCTTCCTCTTCCCTCCTCTAGGAGACTATAAAGAGAAAAGAGAGCCCAGGATAGAGCATCACAGGATGCCCACAGTTAGGGGGTATGATCAGGATGAACATCCAGCCAAAATGACTGAGCAGTCCTGGATAAGTAGGAAGAGAACCAAGAGAAAGGAAGGTTAAAAAAAAAAAAAAAAACCCAGAGGGGAGAGAGTATCCAGGTATTAGTATCAGGGTAAAATGTGGCAGAGAGGTCAAGTGGGATGAAGGTTGAGAAAAGACCTGTAGATTTGCCGATTAAAAGATCACTAGTAATTTTGGAGAGAACAGTTTGAGTTGAATGATAAAGGGGAAAGCCAAATTAGACGGGGTTTAGGAGAGAGTAAGAAAAGAGGAAGTGGAGGCCAAACATACTTGACTTTTTTTTTTAGCTAGTGGAAATTCCTTTAATAGATATAGAAATATGGAGAGCAATTTGGAACTATGCCCAAATAGCAATCAAACTAATTACATGTAAAGACAATTTTTAACATTAATTTTTTATATGCATAACTGTGCATACCCTTTTACCCGGCAATACCACTACTAGGTCTGTATCCCAAAGACATCATAAAAAAGGGAAAAGGACCCATATGTTCAAAAATATTTATAACAGCTCTTTTTGTGGTGGCAAAGAATGGGAAATTGAGGGGATGCCCATCAATTGGGGAATGGTTGAACAAGTTGTGGCATACAAATGTAATGGAATACTATTGTGCTATAAGAAATGACAGGCAAATTTCAGAAAAACCTGGGAAGTCTTACATGAACTGATGCAAAGCGAAGTGACCAGAACCAGAAGAACATTGTATACAGTTAACAGTAACATTGTGTGATGACTGACTTAGCTCTTCTCAGCAATACAATGCTCAAAGACAATTCCAAAAGACTCATGATGGAAAATGCTATCCACATCCAGAGAAAGAACTGATGGAGTCTGAATGCAGATTGAAGTGTACTATTTTCACTTCCTTTATTTTTTTTCATGTTTTTTTCCTTTTGTTGTGTTTCTTCTTTCATGACATGACTAACATGGAAATATGTTTTACATGATTACACATATATAACCTATATCAAATTTTTTAGCATCTCAAGAAGGGAGGGAGAAAATTTGGAACTTAAAATTTTATAAAAAATGAATGTTAAAAATTGTCTTTATATGTAATTAGAAAAAATAAAATACTATTTAAATGGGAAAAATAAAAAAAAATTAGAAATAGAACTAAAGTAAACAGAACAAGGAAAAATCTTTACATTTTGACTTCAACTTCCCAGCTTCAACATGTTCCAGTGAAATATGGTTTTGAAAAATGAAATTTACAATTTATAAAGTATATGATCATTCTAAAATAAGTTGTTAGCTGCATTAAACTGTTTGTATGAGGAACCAAGAACCAACAATTTTTAATACTGTGCCTGATTTCCAGGAGCAGAAATGAAACAATCCATATATCACAACAAGATTCAAGAAACAAAATTAGCCATTATGGCAGTAATAATGAGAAGAATGTTATTTTTTTTCAGATTCTACATTCTCAAGGGCTCTAAGCACTTTCCATATATTACTTCATTGATTCACTTAGGTGACTCTTTCAAGGAATGTAACAGAGAAAGAGAGGAGAGATAGCAGGGAGAGTAGGATAAGATAAAGTTTTTGGAGGATGGGAGA